ATGTCCTGCACCATTGCCCTACTCAGACATCTATGGCAGCCCCAGTCAGAGCCCAGCAGCCAAACCAGAGAAAGAGCAGCTGTCTCCGGCCTTCTCAGCAGAGGGTGAGTAGGGGAAGGATCATGGATTGGCACTTAGGAAAGGGGTTTTCTTCTCAATCTTCAGGCCCAGGGGCCTCCTGGGGAAGGACTTTTGGTTTGCTGGGGCAAGGGCTGGGTAAGTAACCTGTCTCTACTCTGCAGACTGCAAGTACTCTGGCAGAACCAGCACAGGAGGGGGTGTCAACAGCAGCCCCAGTGATGAGCCACGCCTTCCAAAGCGCCGGCCCCCCTCTTCTGGTGAGGAACTACAGATAGTTGGGCACAGGGACCAAGGGAAAGGGGCATTGGCACACATGGAGGCTTGAAAGCAGATGAGGTGAGAGAACACATGCCATAGCCTGGTAAAAGATGATGCATCCACTTGGGCTTCTGCTTCCCACCCCACCCCCATTCTCCTGACTCTTCTCCCTCTGGTTGCCGATGCCTTCCTCATCACCAACTCCATCGTCCTTTTCTCAAGCCTTATTCTCTTTGATTTATCTGCAGCCAGGCTTTGGGGCACAGCTATTGACTACATCCTCACCTTTCAGATACTCTCCCCTGCCTGTTTTGGTGACCTTTGCTGGCCCCTGGTTCTTGGAGACATGGAGATACCTGGCATAGATAGAATGATCAGAGCCCAAGGGAAGCTCGATCCATATCTCCTCCAGGAGCTCTGTGCATTTGAGGTCTATGACCCTGGGTTCCTGTCTCGGCTGTGTGACCTTATGTCAATCACATTCACTTCTCTGAGTCTTGGACTAGATGGCCTTCTTAGCTCCCTTCTAACTCCAAATCCCAGAATCCCTTTGGATATTCCTTCCTCTGGCACCTCAGACTCACTGTGTCCAAGACTGGACTTTTGTTCGTTCCCCCCCCAAGCTGTTCATCATTCTGTTATCTGTTGGCAGCATCCCTGTCCTTCCTGGCCTGAGATCTCTGATTATCTCCAATTCCTTCTGTTCTCCCACTTATGGACCTCTTGCAAATGGCCCTTCCTTTCCATTCCTACTGCTTCCCCCTTAAGAAAAAGCCCTTGTTATCTCTCGCCAGGAGCATCCTAAATTGTCTTTCTGCCTTCAGTGACTAGAGCTCCTGCTAAAGAGCTGTCTGGGAGAGTGGAGACGTTAGTCTTTCTAAAGCCCAGCCCTGGTCCTAGAATACTGGGATCTCAGAGCCAGCAGCCTCAGAAGGCATTCAGTCCAGTTCCCACAACCAGGCCGAGAGTCTCATCACCAGCTTTTCTGACAAACAAGTAAAGTCCAGCTCTGCTTGGATGCTTGCAGCCTGGTCTAATGAGCTCTGGCTTAGGGGAGAGCCTGGAAGTTTGGGTTCTAGTCTCAGGCCTGCCACTTTCATGACATGTATACCTTGGACAAGTGACTTGCCTCTCTGAGCCTCAGTTTCCTTTTTCAGTGGAACATGAGTTGTAGGGAGGGACACTAGAAAATGATTTCTTTTTAAGGTCACATCCGATTCTGATGTAAAAGTTCTGTTTCCAGTAATAAGGCACTCTCTCTCAAGGCAGCCCATCATGGGACACCTCCAGTTATCAATAAGCCATAAATTCTACTTTCTTAAAACATCCCGCTGGTTCTCGTCCTTCCTTCTGGGACAAAGAATGAGTCTCCTGCCTTCCTCACGATGGCCCTTCAGACACTTTGAAGGCAGTCATCATGTACTGCCTAAACTTTCTCTTCTCCAGGTTAAACACCCCCAGTTTCTTCAACTGATCCTCCCATGACATCATTTGAAGACCTTCCTTCTATTCCAGCCAGTCTCCTGTCCCATCACCCTTCAGTAAAATCTAAACTTCTCTAGCCAGAGTAGACCTGTCCAACTCCTACTCGTCCTTCAAGGCTCTTTGAGACAGCTTTCGTGCCCTCCTGATCCTGATCCTCCCTGCTCCTGTGGGCCTTCTGGCCCTTGCTTTTGCTTCTCAGTGGTCCTTAGTACATTCTGCCTGCTATCTGGCTATTGTCAATAGATTCCTGTGTGTCCTTCTCCCCACCCTTGCAAATGAAGAGAGATAGTACTGTTCGCAAAGGTCCCGGGTTCAAATCAGGGTTCTGCCATCTATCATGACCTTGTGTGGTCATTCTACCTGTATTGCCCCGTGGCTGTTGAGGCTACGTGCTGTGGACGTGAGCCATCCCTTTTATGGTTATTTGGCTCTGAACTCCTTAAGGACTGGCTCCAGATCAGGGTTAGTTGTATTTCATCTTCTAGGCCCAGGCCTCCCCCCTCCCCTCCAGGTAGCCCAGGACTTGGCACACAGTAGGTGCTCAGGCCTTAGATGAATGGTGGACTGTAGGCGGCAGGATTCAGGTTGATGTGTGGCTGAAGAGGGGGAACATGACCAGGGTCCGGGGATCCTTTGTGTCTGTCCTAGGGAGACAGTTCCCTTGCTCCAGCTACGGTTGCCGCCTGGCCTTCCCCAGCCCCCGGGAACTTGCTCAGCACCTGCACAGTCACTTGCAACCCACACAGTCCATGGAAGGTAAGCATGGGGATGGGGGAGAATAGGATGGTACTTCCTTCCCAGAATCCTCTCTGCCAGAGGACCACTCCTTTGCCCTGACATGGCAGCCCTATCTACTGGCACTCCTGGTCTTGGCTCCCAGTGGGAACGGTTCAGAAGCCTACCTACCTGGAGAGCCATGAGCAAGAAGACAGAATGCTGGATTTGGAGTCAGGGGATCTGGATTCAAGTCCTGGCTCCATAACTTGGGCAAGAGCCCCTAAAGCTCTTGGGAAGTGGCCCTGCCACTTGCACCGCTTGGATCTTGGAACCGTTGTGTGCTAACCCCAGGAGCATCACTGCCTCTGGTCATAATCCTCTGCAGGCAAACTGTTTCACTGCTCAACCCCAGGCTGTACAGAGACCTTCCCCAGCATGCAGGAGCTGATGGCCCACACTAAGCTGCACTACAAGCCCAGCAGATACTTCAAGTGAGGCCCTTCCCCTTCCCTGTCCTTCTCCCCTCCACCCACTGGGTCTTCTCTTGGGTCCTCTCTTGGGTCTCTGTGATGACTTGACTCCTCATCTACTCACTGCTCACTCCCAACCCCCCCTTGCCACTCTGTACACCGTCAGCTCACCTGGCCTCATCCTTGCTGTCATCGGGCCTGCTCACCCCTCAGTCCAGCCTCTGTCTCCCCTCACCCCAGGTGTGAAAACTGCCTTCTCCGCTTCCGGACTCACCGCTCCCTCTTCAAGCACCTACACGTCTGCTCCGACCAGTCCCACAGCCCGGCCCCACCCCCAGCCCCACTGCCCCCAGCTCTGGAGAAGGAGCTGCCTGATGCTCAGAGACCAGCTGGCCCCAGCCCCGACAAGGCCCCGCTGCTCACGCCGCTGACCCTGCCCCCGGATCCTCGTCCTAGGGCCCCTTTCCCGCTGCTGGAGGCCTCGCTTTATGGCTCTGCTGCACTACCCTCATACTCCAGCCAAGCCTCAGGCCCTGTACCTGCACCCTTCCTACCCTACCTGGGTCCCTCTCCCTATGGGCTGGCCCCTGGCTCTGGTCCCCAGCGCCTCCGTCCCTTCCTGCCGGCCCAGGCCCAGAGTCTCCCTAGCTCTGGTCCTGGCTCCAGCTCCAACACTAATACAGCTGTCTGGAAAAAAAATCCGGGTGAGCAGACATTGCCCAGACCCAGCCCTCATATGGGATATAAGCAGGGGTTCCTCAGTGTCACTGCCATGTGTTCTCCCCAAGTAAGGACCGGGAGAGGGAGAAGCAGGTAGCAGGTAAGGCTGCAGCGTTCCCTCCCCTGATCCCTTCTTTCTCTCCTTCCACAGGTTCCAGCGGTAGCCCACGGAGGCTGCCTGGGAGCTCTGAGGGCCCTACAGGTCAGTGGCATCCCTGGGGCGTTGGGTGGGGGAAGGAATGACAGAATCAGACCCTTTAAAATGGGAAGGGGACAGAGATCAGGAACTCGAGGCCCGCCACTGTACAGACTCAGAGAAAGACTCCAAATTGCTCAACTTTCTTCAGGAGGAAAGTGACCCAGGTTACTTAAAACTTACCCAGATGCAGTGTTAAGATTGTGCAGGCCCCCTCCTGTCAGGAGGTCCCAGGAGCGCACCCTGAAGGCTTCTCTCCTGGCTGTACCAGGTCATTCTTCTACCAGCCGAATTGTGTGGGAGCACACCAGGGGCCGCTACACCTGCATGCAGTGCCCCTTCTCCACGGCTTCCAGACCCGCCATGACCCTTCATTTGGAGGACCATCGAAAGACTCCACCCCCAGCCCCCCCCCACAGCCCCCATCACCCTCCACTCCCCCTCAACTGGAGGCGCAAGGGAGCACAGTCTGGTCACTGGAGCCCACTCCTGGATCATCAAGTGGTCCTCCTTCCCTCACGACTCAGTCACCCAGGGCCCAGGGCCCCCCAGCCTCAGGGGATGACTGGGATTTCTGAGGCTGGGAAACCCAACTCTCCTGCCTCTCGCAGTAGTGTGAGGCCACCCGGTGATGTGGAGTCACTCCCTCTTAGGCAGACTTTGCAGGTGGCCTGACTTACTCCCCCTTCCACAATGGCTACAGAGATGGACCACTCTTTCTACTCTCCACTGTAGGCCCTGGTGACTGCAGGGGGTGGAGAGGTAGAAGACTATTTTTATAATTAACTTAATGTTGCTTTGGAACTCTGTGGGTCATCGGGTCCAGTTGTCCTGGCTTGGCCCAGGATCAGCTGGGGGTGGAGATAATAAAACAGTTGTATAGGAGTTGTCTCTTTCAGAATATGGGGCTTCAAGAATCGTTGGGTGGGGCCCAGGGGTCCAGTCTGTTTCAAACAAGCCCCTCCACAGGGCCCAGTTCCTAGACTGACTGACCAAGTTGGACTCTTCCCTAGAATGAATAATTCAGGACATTCCCTGCTCCCCCCCCCCTTCATTATTTGTCCTAGACAAGATAAAAAAATTCCAGTTTTTATTTATTTAAAAAGACCAATAAGAGGGAAGAGGGAGGGGGCTGCAAGGTTTATCCTGAGAAAGTGCCAGAGCCCCTGCCCCTTCAGGGCCCAGGCAGGGCATGGGACATATTTTTCTTGGAAACAGAGATTTAGAAAGAATTCCAACAAATTGTTGCACAAACACCCCTGAAAACGGAGAAAACCTTTGGTCACCGAATCCCCTGGCCAAGCAGTGCCTGTGGAGCCCCTTCTGGAAAAGAACAGACCCCAGAGCCAGCAGTGCCCAGGGCTGGGGGGCAAAGGGCAAGGGCAAGCTGGCAGAGTCCATCCTCAAGCCGCTGCTGCTCACTGACCGCAGGGCGTTCAGTCCTCCTCATCCTCCTCGCTGTCGTCCCCCTCATCATCTGCAGCTCGTTTCCTTTTCTCTCCGTGCTGGGGCTCTGAAGACAGGGAGGCAAGCCAGTGTCAGAGGAAGAAGGAACAGAGCGCAGGGCAGCAGAGAAGAAGGACCCCAGCTCTGGCTAGTTAGGGGTATCAGGAATTCAGAGGCACCCTCTCACCCAAGGCCTCTAGAATACAGAGTTAGTTCACCAGAGCTGGGGGTGGAGCAAAAACAAAGCAGGAAGGGCCTGGCCTGGCTCAGAGAAGGAGCAAGTGCAGGGGGTGGGGCTGAGCCCAGAGCCTGCCCCACCCCGGTCTACTGGAATTCTTAGATCCCTCCCAGGAATCAAGCCTAGGGCAACTTGGGGGGGGGGGGCAAGACAACAATGCCACTCCTAGGCCCCTTAACCCATCCCCTACTAGAGGCACCTCTAGGATGGAGCCTAGAATCAGGTTCCAAGCAGTCAAGACTCACCTTCTCCGTCTTCCTCTTCATCCTCCTCTCCATCATCATCTTCATCCTCATCATCATCCTGAAGGATTGGGGGAGAAGACAGGGCAGAGTGAATTCTACAACGTCGGTGCTTGAGGGGGCAGGAGCTAGTCTGACCCCCTTAGTTATAGATGAAGAAATCAAAGCCGAGAGAGGGTTAAACAGAATTCAAATCCAAGTCTTCAGGTTTCTCCCCTACCCCATGAGGAATCCCCCTGGACTGTAGGGAGATCTACCGGAATGAGCCCTGGATTTGGAAAGGTCTTTGACCAAACCCCAGATCCGGTATGTGGTCCTCTTCTGTGACTGCATCTCTGATGGAGGGAGGCACCCGGCCTTTGCTTTGATCCAACCCTTCCCAGGGAAGGCCAACATGGTCCTCACCTCATCCTCTACCCCATCTTCTTCTTCCTCCTCCTCCTCCTCCTCTTCCTCCTCCTCATCTTCTTCTCCATCAACATCTTCATCATCCTCATCCTCATCGTCATCAATTACATCCTCATCAAGCTCTTCCTCTTCCTCTTCCTCCTCCTCCTCCTCTTCACCTATCACTGACAACAGAGAGTTCATGACCAAATAACCTGGGCTCCCTGGCCCAAACGGGCATGGATGCCTTCCTAGGTGAACTTGGCCAAAGGCTGTGCAGTGGGGAGGTTCATCCTCACTCACCTGACAGCAAAGACCAAACTAGTGATTAGGGAAGGGGACTGGGGGCTTCTGAAGTGGAAGGAGGTAGGTAGGGAAGCTCATCTAAACCTAGAAGGGCCCCCTGGACAAATCCTCACCTTCCCCATTTTCCCCGCAAACACTCTCCAGGCCCTCCCTCTCAGCCTCAGGGTCAGAGTCCGGAGCTTCCTTGTCATCAGCATCGTAGCCATCGAGGTAGGTGAGCTGGGGCAAGAGGGCAAACACACTCTCCCGATAGCTCATCAGCATGGTCACATCACATTTGAAAAGGTCTAGGCTCTTGAGGTTCGGCAGCTTCTTCTACAAGAAGCAAGGAGGACAGCTAGAAGCCCAGGCCTTGATCCCATCCCACCCCAGCCCCAGCCAAGGGTGCCCCAGGAGTCTGGAACATTCCAAGATAACTTTGCTAGCTCTGCAAGGCAGGCAAAAAGATCCTCTATGGGACTTGGGGAAGCCAGGGAAGGTCTCCTCAGGCTCGGGCCGCAGAATGGGTCAAGGGCAAGTTTCTATTTGCCTTTTGGTGAAAAATGATTTAGCACCTGCTCGGTACGAAAAAAGACAATGCTTAAGCAACCCTGGGGAAGTACGAACTGGGGCAAGCCCCAATCCTTGCCCTCAGCCAACAGTCTAATGGGGTTCGAGTCCAGGCAGCCTCACCAGGGGCTCCAGCGTGTTGATGTCCTTGATTTTGTTCCCACTCAGATTTAACTGGACCAGGCTGGGGGTTCGTTCGGCCAGGACCTCCAGGCCTCCAGAGAGGTGGTTATCGCTGAGCTCCAACTGTGGGGCCCAGACAGAACAGGGTGCGGACAGTCAGGGACTCAGACCTTCCATCTCCTCTGGGGAGGGGGGCACCTGCCTCCTACCACCCCCACCTCATGCTTAGGGTTTCCCAATCCCTGGCATCTCCACCCCGCAATGTCTCTTCCCCCGTGCCACCTTTCGTAGTCGGGGAAGCTTGGGTAGGTTGGCCAAAGACACGAGATTGATGTCGACCATGCTGAGAAACTCAAGGTTTTCAAATTCTGAAGACAGGCCCCCAATCTTGCCATCATCTGAGAAGCAGTTATCCAAGACTAAATCCTTCACCTGGGGATGAGGAACAAGGCCTCAGTCACCTCCAAAATTTTAAGCCTCCATTCCAACCAGGATCCCTCTCTGCCAGGACGGTCTGGGCCTCAGACGGTCCAAGCCCAACCTCCAGGGTGTCCCCCACAAAGTCCAGACTCAGGGAAGTCCACAAGCCTGTTCCTGCCCAACTAGGAACATCCATGTCAGTGCTTGAGGGGCCAGGAGCTAGCCTGACCCCCTTATTTATAGATGAGGAAATCAAAGCCAAGAGAGTGGTAAAGACTTGCCCATGGTCACAAAGGAAGAGGCAGAAACAGAATTCCAGCATCAACTCTAAACAAGCATAAATGGCTTAACAGTCCCTCAATGATCCTCCAAACTCCTCAAGCCAGCCCAATTCTGGTCACCTCCCAAACCCCAGAACAGCCAAGAATGGCTCAGTCACTCCAGGCCCTGGCTCTAACCATCCTTCACTTAGGTCATTCTGGGCTCCTGTCCACACATCCTGGCTCAGCTTAGTCCCTAGGATTCCAGAGAAACCAGGCCCAGGAAGCCTCAGAGCTGGGCTCAGGTCTTCAGAAGGATAGAGACCCCAATTTTCCCTCCTCTAATGCCAAGCCCTGAGCCGCCGAAAGGCGTCCTGCGCCTCTTCAAGCTTTGGACCCCTGAACTTGGGACCACTTGTTCCTAAGACCCAAAGGCTCAGAATTTCACAGCTAAAAGACTGGGGGTGGGGGGTGGGGAGCTGGGGAAGACGGTAAGGTTTACTGAAGGTAAAACCGAGGATGGCCCCTTTCACAGTTCCTCTGAGCTAAGCCCCCGAGTCTTAACAAACTCCAGCAACCAGGAGGACCCTCCACCTTCCCCACCTACAAGCCAGGGCCCCACGTGTAGCCCTCTTCCGCTTAAATGCCTCCGTGCTGACTCCGGGAAGCTCCAGCCGGGGTCCTGCCGCCTGCTCCCCACAATCTGCCAGCCCCGATCTCCTAGAACCACCCAGGCCCCCAAAGACCAGTCCCTAAAGACTATGTCCCCGACTTTGGGTACCAACCCAAAGCCCCTTATTTCCAGACTTCCTAGCTTAGCGTGTGACTCGGGCCCTAAGCGCCAAAAGTCGAGATCTCCTAGCGCACGTTCGGACCCCGGGCCCCAGGCCTTCAACCCCAAAGCCCGGGGGTCTCCCCGAGCTTGTCCGCACCCCGGGCCTTCAACGCCCAAACCTACGATCTCCTAGCGCATATTTGCACCCCGGACACCGGCCCTGCCGGGCCCTCAACACCCAAGCCCGGGATCTCCGAGCGCACGTCCGGGCCGGCCGCCCTCCCAGGCCCCACACCCCGATCCTGCGCACGCAGAGCCCATGTCCCCGGCCTCCCGGGGCCCATGTGCCGGGCCTTGAAGGCCACGTCCCCGGGTCTCGGCGCCCGCACTCCCCGACCTCCGTCCCGGGCCTTGGGCGCCCCGGATGTCGGCGCCCGCGCCGCCGGCCTCCGTGCGGGGCCTTGAAGGCCACGTCTCCGGGTCTCGGCGACCCGGGCCCGGACTTGGGCCCCGAGCCGGCCCGCTCTCCCCGGCCCCGGACCCCGCGCGGCTGCCCACGTGCGGCGCCCCCAACCCCGGGCCCACGTGCTCCGGCCCGCGCGGGCCTCACCTCCCCCGGCTTCCTGTTCCGCAGCTCCAGCGTAACCCGCCTCTTGATGTCCATGGCCGCGCAGCCCGAGCCCAGCCCAGCCAGGGAGCCCCGAGAGCCCCGAGAGCCGCCGCCGCCGGGGAGACCGCCAGGAAGGCGCCAAAGGCACACAAAGGGGCGGGGGGAGGAGATCGCGCCCCCGAGGGCCTCGGAGCGCGTTCCCGGGCGGCCCAGACCGGCCCCAGCGCGCCCTCTGCTGGCCCCGGAGCGCCAAACCCCAACCCCCCCCCCCACGCGCGGCCCCGCCTCTCGCAGCGCGCGGTCCCGCTCCCGTAGCGCCCCCTGCTGGCCCAAGAGCACCTCCCCCCCCACCTCACCCCACCCCCTACCCCAACACACCACTGTGGGCTCCGCCTTTCGCAGCGCCAGAGCTGGCGGCCCGAGGATGACCCCACAGCGCCCTCTGCCGGTCTCACAGCATCAACCTCACCCCTACAAGGCAGCCCCACCTCTCCCAGCGCACGGCCCCGCCCCCAAGGCGCCCTCTGCAGTCCCGGAGCGTCGACATCCCCTCCCAGTGCGGGGCCTCGCCAATCCTTGAGCGCCTGTCCGCTACGAAGCCTCCTGCCGGCCGCGGAGCGTACCTCCGCTTTCAGTTGCGAGTGAGCCCAACGAGTCTGAGCTCCGAAAGCCTCCGCCTCCTTCTGAGCTGACCCCATACACCCCTGCTGGCCAGGAACGCAGCCCCTTTGTGACAGAGGCTGGCACGCCCCCTGCCGGTTCAGGAGCGTGGTCTCTCGTGCTCCAGACTGGTGCCCCAGCACGCCCCCTTCCGGCGGAGCCTGCCCCCCATCCCCAAGAGCTTCGTGCAGCCCTGCCCCGCCCAGCTTGTCCCCAAGGGGAACCCAACGGGGCTCCTGGCACAGAGACGGAGGAGGACAGTCTGCGGCTCCTCCCTGCGGTCGTGCCCTTTCCCCACCTCGTGACTCAAGTCTGAAACCTCCCGGGTTCGCCTGGGTCCGCGGTGCCCGGCAGCTCAGAGGCTGGCAAGAGAACTTGCATTTCTGGACTCAGGATAGGAACTGGATCAGACATTTCGTTGGTAGTGGGGACTCCCAGGTGAGGAAACTCCATCTACCAATGCAAGTCTGCACCCACTTTAAAATTAGTCTTAGAGTTTGGCCTAGAGCATTGTGTCCTTAAATGCCTTCCTCCATGGCACAACCAGTATGTAGGGAGGCAGGGCTTGAACCCGGGTCTTCCTAGTTTTTAGGCCAGCCATCTTCCACGTCTTCACCACCAGCCTTCCTCCCTCCCCCAGTACCCCTGTCTAGCTCCTCTTTATGCGTCTTTCCCTATTAGAATATAAACCCCTTGAGCGTGGGGGTCATCTTGGTTTCTTGTATTTGTATCTCTAGCACTGAGCAGTAGTGCCTGGCCCATAGTAGGTGCTTAATAAATGCTCTATCCATTGCTCTAGCTGTTTACCTACCTACCTATCCATTATGATGTGCTCTTCATCAGCTAGGTGGTCCAGTGGATAGATTGCCAGATTTGAAATCAGGAATACTCGAGTTCACATGCAGGGGAGACAATTTTTATCTAAGTGACCCTGGGCGAGTCACTTGAGATCTGTTTCCTCATCTGTAAAAATGGGGATGATAATAGCACCCAGGGTTGTTGTGAGGACCAAATTAAATAATATTTATAAAGCCAAATATAACATGTTAAGATTTACAAAGTTACCAGATTCCTGAAGGAAGCTATGGAAACTACCAGATAGAGGTTAGTGGCCTTCCTAGCTCCAAGACCACCAGGGGAACCACACTGCCTCTTCATGACCCTCTCCCTGACCAGGTACTCTCCGTTTTCTCTCCTCTTCTCCAGCAGGAGACTGGCCTAAGTTCCATGACTGACTTGTGGCCCCAGGTTTCTTAGTTGTTGGAGAAGCCCCTCTCATGGTCATTCATGGTCAGATAAAAGATCGATCGATAATCAGTCAATTAATGAGTATTTATGTAGCCTTTACTATGTGCCAAGCATCGTGCTGAGTGAGTTCTATGGAAACAATAACAAAGGTTTACATTCTATCAAAGGAGGCCACACACACCCATACACACAATAATCCAAGGTAATTTCCAGGGTAGGAATGAGGAGGCATAGGCAGCTTGAGGGCTCAGGAAAAGCCTTCGGTAGGAGATGGTGTCCCAGCTGAAAAAGAAAATTAGGGATTCTAAAAGGCAGACCCCGGAGCAAGGGAGACGTTCAGCGACTCACAACATTCTTGATCTTATTTTATTGATTATTTGCTAGCCATCATTAGTAAATTGATAATTAATTACCTAGAAAATTATGTCTTTCAGACTTTTCATTCATCACACTGTACCTCCATTACCTCAACTGTAAAATGAGGATTTTAACAGCATCCCCCTTGTAGGGAGGATCAAATAAGATCAGATTTGGAAAGCACTTTGTTTGTAACCCTTAAAAGCCATATTTCAAGGTACTTGCTGAGATGTTTGTGGCCAAAGATCCTTGAATCTCCCTAGGAAAATCTGGTCTCCAATGCTCCTGGACCCTGACAGTTTCCTTGGGAAGCCTCTGTAAAGTCAACAAGGCCTAGGGCTGAGAGTCAGAAACCTTGATTCTACTTCCAGCTCTGTCACACTGGGCAAATGCCTTCCCCTCTCTGGACCTGTTTCCCTAACCTCTCAGGTCTGACATTTTAAGGTTTTGGGATCCCATTGCCAGGAATCTTATATGTGGCTACTTTGAGGAGGGAGGATGGTCTCAATTAAGGAAGCTCCACTCAGTAATCGAACAGGCAGGGGCCACGGGATGCCCGATCCACAATCAAGCAATGAAGGGAGCCTTCTGTGGGTGATTTGCTCAGGGCTTCTTCTAGGACTGGATACTCAGTGACTCAAGGCTCCACTCCAGTGAGTGGAGAATCCAAGAAGTTTAGATTCAAAGGGTGGCACTTGAGGACCTAGAGGGCCACATGTGGCCTCAAGGCTGCAGGTTCCCCACCCCTGTGCTTAGTTCAAATGCAGCCTCAGACACTCACTAGCTATATGACCCTGGGCAAGTCACTTCACTTGTTTCCCTCTGTTTCCTCAACTGTAAAATGGGGATAATAACAGTACCTGCCTCCAAGATCAAATGAGATTATATTTATAAAATGCTTAGCACACTACTCCACACATAGTTGGTGCTATATAAATGCTTATTCCCTCCCACTTAGTCCCCACTGCAGAGAAGATTGTGGTGGTCACAACAGTGTCAACCAAGCCCCACCTCTTACACAAGATTTCTAATTCCCACCAATTGTTATTCTTATTTTGTGTATGCTCCCTGTGATGTATACTGGGCAAATCACTTAGCCCTAGGCAACAGCCTAAGACTGTAAACTGCTCAAGGGTCACAGATCTGTGTGGGTAGAGGGAGTTTTATTACCTGGGATTTCCTTCACTGATTAAGTCACATGTCCAGACAAAATAAGAACTATATACATACAAAATAAACTATATACACATACATACTCATTCATTACTTTAAAATTTACCCAATGGGGGCAGCTAGATGGTGCAGTAGATAGAGCTCTGGCTTTGGAGTCAGGAGGACCTGAGTTCAAATCTGACCTCAGACACTTGACACTTACTAGCTGTGCGACCCTGGGCAGGTTACTTAACCCCGATTGCCTCAGCAAAAAAAAAAAAAAATTACTCAATGATTGTAACAGAGTGTGACATACTTGTCTGCTAATTCCAGGGTCCTAGAGGACAGGCATTATTTAATTGTCCTACACCAGGCACACAGTTAAGTGCTTAATGAAAGCTTATAGAATGAACTGAATGAATGAATGTCATAACACTGAGAGGATCAGAAGATATTTAGGGAACTTACAAATATATAAAACTGATTCATTCTCCAGTGAAGAAGTAGTCAAAGAATGTGGACCAACATTTCGCAAAAGGAGAATTACAAATTGTAAACAATCATATGAAAGACTGCTCCAAAGCACTTATGGTAAGAGAAATGCAAATCAAAACAACTCTGAAATTTTACCTCATACCCTGCAAGTTGGCAAAGATCATAGAAGCTTTTAAAAAAATACAGTCACTGGCTATTCTCAGCAATACAAAGATCCAAGACAACTTTGAAGGACTTACGATGAAAAATGCCATCCACCCCCAGACAAAGAACTGATGGTGTCTGAATACAGATTGAAGCATACTATTTTTTACTTTATTTTTCTTGAGTTTTTTTCTATGTTTTCTTTCATAACATGACTATTACAGATATGTTTTGCATACATATGTATAACCTATATTGAATTGTTTGCCTTCTCAATGGGGGTGTGGGCTCGGGGAGGGAGGAAAAGAGAGAATTTCAAACTCAAAGTTTTAAAAACAAATGTTGAAAATTGTTTTTTCATGTAACTGGGGAAAAATAAAATACTAAATAAACAATTTAAAACAAAGTCACTAACCCATTCACAGCTTTTGAACCAGAGTTGCCACTGGTAGGCAGAGATATACTCCAAAGAGGTCAAAGGTAGAAAGAAAGGCCCCATAAGCAACAACATATTTACAGCAGTTCTTCACATAGTATCAAAGAACTGGAAACAAAAGACCTAGTGATTGGGAGGATGGATAAACTAATTGCAATGGAATGTTAGCGTACTCTAAGAAATGATCATTTCAGGGAAGCACGGGAAAACATACAGAAGTTCACTTTCAAAATGAAAGAGAAGCAAAAATTGCAACAGTACAAATGAAAGAATGTTGACAATGACAAAAATGAAACTCGGTAGTTATGTAATTATAAGGACAAAGATCTGTGAAAAAATGCATCTTGCTCCCATTTTTGCAGAGGTGGAGGAATATGGGTACAGAAAACTGCATATGTTGTTAGTCTTGACTGGAGCATTGGTTAATTTTGCTGAATTGCTTTTACTTCTTGATTTTTCAAAATTCTTTGTAACAAGGAGGTGGATCATGCGTTGATGATGGGGTAGGGGTAATATTTACAAATGAAGGTGATACAAAGCTATAAAATTTTTAGAAAAGATACACGTATATACATAAAAATATTCCTAAGAGCCCTTTTTGTGGTAGCAGAAAATTAGAAACAAAAAATCACTTGAGGAATGATTAAGCAGATTGTGGTCCATGAATGCCAGGAAATGTTACTATGCCATAAGAAGTGATGGCTATGAAGAATTCAGAGAAGCACAGACTTACATGAACAAAGTGAAGTGAGCAGAACTAGGAAAACTATACACAATGCCTATAGCAATCAATGTACATGGAAGGGGCAAAAAACCGAAACAATGTTATGTAATTAAAATGACCAAGCTTGGCCCTGGAGAGTAGATGAGAAAATGCACTTTCCCACATTCTTTGCCTAAGTGAAGGACTACAGGTGTTGAACCACTTTGTTTTCCTCTTTTTTTTTCATTCTTTGTTACAAGGGATGGCTGGCTGAGTTGGGGGTAAGGGGAAGGATATGTTTGGAAATGAAGGTAATGTAAGAACAAAAGATATTAATAAAAATTAATTTTTTGAAAAGAATGGGTGGCGGATTCAGTAAGCACAGGGATGATATCCAGATGGTTTTACTCTCCCAACTCTCCTCCACCCCTTACACGATTCTGTCCTTAGACACATCCCATAAAGAAGCCTCCCCCTCCAAAAGAAGAAAAAGGTCACTCATCAGCCTCCTATGATAGCCTTGGGAGACTGTCTTGTGAGTCTAGCCTGAACTCTCCGCACTTTAAATTTGTGCAGTCACCTCAAGCATCTATGGATCAGAGAGTCTGCAACATTCTTGGGTCAGTCTGAAGTTTGAGTCCCATAGATCCTGAGGTCAGTAAGTCAGAAGGTAAGTGGGTCAGGATCTGAAGATTAACAGGTTCTAGGGGTTTTGGGGTCAAGGGTTCCTTAGGCCAGTGGGTCCTTGGGCAGGAAGGTTCTCAGGTAGATAGGTCAGTGATTCATTAGGTCAGTGCTATATACCTAGTTCCATTTTCTCTCATGAATTCCAGATCCAACTGCATCTCTAACTGCCTGCGGTACATCACCACCCAGAGGTCCTACCAGCCATTCAAATTTAGCAGGACTCAAATTGAACTCAGCTTTTCTTTCCTCAAATCTTTGTTATCACCAGCATTTGGTATAGTATCTTGTACATACAGTTATCCCTTCTACTTCGTGACTTTCCCCATTGCAGTTTTGATATATCGTGGATTGGCATAAGAAATTAAATGGGAATTTTTGGAGAGTTACATGGAAGCCACAGATGACCTGTGAAGGCCAGCAAGACAACAACAGAAAAAGTTTAGAAACTCAGAAATGCATAAAATGTATGGTATTGTATACTATCAACCCAAATTTTACAAAAAGCACCCCATAAAAGAAAAAGAAAAAATTCAAACTTCTTCTCTGGTATAAGGGGGGAGCCAAAAAAATTTTCACTTGGATTTTCCAGATCACAGGGGCACTGTACCCCAACCCCCTTGATATGGAAGGGATAACTGTAGTAGTACTTAATGTCAACTGAATTGAAGTTCAGTCAGTCCATTCATTCAGACCACTGGGTCAGGGGATGAAGGTCAGTAGACCCTCTGGTAGATGGGTCTGAAGGTGAGACCCAAGGTTCAACAGGTCTCTCAGGTCAGTAGACACTTGACCCTATCTAATGATGGCCTCCAGGACTCAGAACACTGGTCCTTCCCTTCAGCCACCAGTTAAGAGTAGAGGCACCCAGATTTGGGCTCAGCTGTTATTCTAAGACTCCATGTTAGAAAAGCCCAGAAAAATAAAAACACATTCACCCATATACAGATTATAACCACATCTGGTTCAGGAAAGAAGTTATTTAGAGCCAAGAAAGATCACCTTGAACTAGACTGGTCCAGGAGTGGTTCCTAGAAAAGGCAGCATTGGAGCCAGGCCTTGAAATTGGGGGAGCACCTGTAGAGCTCAAGAAGGTCCCTCCCCTTTGTCCCCACCCCCTCCAACCTCCTGGTCTCTCTCCTCCTTTCCTTCCTCCTCCCTCCCCCCACTCCAACACATATCATCATTTGGGTGTCTGGGTTTCACTTCCTGGAAGTAGCCCCAGGCATTTCTGCAACCCCCCAGACCCTGGGAGGTCCCAGAAACCAGGAGAGCATTTCAATCCACAGGCCACAGGACCAAAGGAGCTGGAGAGTCATGGTAAGTAGCCCTTTCTCTACCTCCCTTCCTGCCATCCCCCTATTCTCACTCCCAGGGATGTACAAAGAAAGCCGAATAGAAAACCCAGCCCCTACAACCTCCTTCTATTCCTTTTGGCTCAGGAGGATCTGAGAGATTCTTGGCCCTATGTGTGTGTCAAGGAAGGGGAGTCAGGACTCCTTTGCGAGGCAAAGGATGCAATATAGCAAAGGGGAGGGGAGGAAGGAGACCATCAAGGCTGGGAACACAAGCTATATGGGGGGAAAGAGATGAAGCTCAAGAAGTGGACTGAGACTGATATAGTGTGCATCTTAAAAAGTAGGCAAAGGAGTTTGGATTGTATCTTCCAAGTAACCAGGGCCACTGTGGGGTAGATGTCAGTGTGGCACAGTGGGAAGACTTGGAATCAGGAGCACCTCATTCAAGTCCTAGCTCTGACATTTCCTAACTTTGTACTTTTGGACAAGACATCTAACCACTCTCAGCCTCAGTTTCCTCATCTGTAAAATGGAGGTGACACTCTGTGCACTACTGACCTTATGTGGTTGATTGTGGAAGTCAAATAAGGCAAGGTAAAGAAGCTTCATGGACCTTGATGGACAATCTGCTGTTGTCATTATCCCTGGGGGCCCAGCCTTGCCTGGTACCGATCCAGGCACTGACTCTAGGCCCCCACGGGCTTGCCCAGGCCCTGAGACCAATCTTGTCACCCAGCCCAGGCCCATTTTACCTTGGCTCCTATCCAAGATGGCAGGCCTCTTCTGTTGAGCTTGTCCAGGGTAGACTGGTGGAATCAGTCACTGGACTCTATAGAAGGCTCTGCTCACTTCTCACCCAGCCCTTTCCATCTCTCTTTGCTCTTCTTTCTCCCCTGCCCACTCCCACCCCCACCCCCATTGGTGTCCTAATTCACCTTCTTTAATGCCAGTGGTCTAAGGCAGCCCTGGTTCGATCCAACATTGAACTAGGGCTACGGGCTATATTAGCATATCATAGCCACCCTATGTGGGGAACAGGGACAATACCTGGAGGAGGTGGGGAGGAAATATGGGGCCATGGTGGGGCAGGGGAGTGTGGGAAGGGGGAGAATGATAGTTAAAGCTTAGGGGGAGGGACAGGTTGATGGTGACCTGAAAACTGAGTTCCAAGGGGGTAGTGGCTTCCTGTGGGCCCCAGGGGTGCTGACTGCTAGGCAAAGTAGGTCAGAAGGACTTGCCCCTATTTATGGGGCTGAGATGGGGTAGGGCAATATTTGTGACAACAGTGAAGATGGCGTTTTGGTCTTCAACACCCCCCCCCCCAGTTCAGTTGTTCCTGAGGCAGAGGAGTGCAAGTAAATGTTTAACAACCAGCTTTTGGGGTAGGATCTATGCACAACACTTAAGAATTGAGTCTGCATTATTAACATTTTCTGCATCACTTCCTTAAATTCAATTAACAAAATAATATATCAACCCCTGATCTGTAGCATTTGTTGATTTCCAAAGTATAAATGTTAACACTGAAAACTGCCTCCATTACATCCTGTGAGGCCTCTCACCATGTTCCTGAGAAGTTAATGGCTCAGTCCCTTCCCTCTCTAAAGGGGCTCTCTCTCTCTCTCTCTGTCTCAGCTCCACAAACTCACTTAAAAAACCTTTTTTAAAAATGAGAATCTTATTGGTATATTTTGTTTTTACATTGCCCAGATTTCCCCCTGTATTTCACTCCCATCCTCCTCCCAGACAGCCACCTCTTATAACAAAGAATATGTGTGTGTGTGTGTGTGTGTGTGTGTGTGTGTGTGTGTGTGTGTGTGTGGGGGAGGTATGGACGTAATTTCTCGTATCTCTTCGTTGGGGCCAAGTTCATTCTTCATGATTTCACAACATTCATATTAGATTGCTTTGTGAAGGCTGTTCTTTCGTTTACATTGCTGTAAACGTTGCTTGTTTTCCGGGCTCCTTCAGTGAGCACCATCAGCTCGTAGATCTTTCTGTACTCTGTCTTCATACAATTTCTTGCTTCTTACGGCCACCATATTCCCATGTTCATGTACCACCATTTGTCTAGCTATCTTCCTGTAGACACAGCTAAGTTGTTTCCACGTCTGTGTTACCACAGAAAGTGCTATCAATATTCTCATATTCATGGAGCTTCTCTTTGCATCAATGACCTCTTGGGGACATATGCTTAGCAGTGGAATTTCTGGATCAACCCTGTGGCTTGCTTTCTCACAGACTTTTAGACAAAGGGCAGGAATATGGATACCATCCAGGACTTCTAACAGAATTGGGAAACCTGAGCAATGGTATATGTGTGTATGTTTATTGCTCTGTATATGTTCATAATCTCTGACCATCTCTGCCTATCTGTGCTTATAGATAGCTTTCTGATAGCAGAAAATTTCTTCTTTCCAACGATCAGAATTGTCCAAACGTAGAGTGGTCCCCAGGGTGCTGTCAAGTAGTGAGTTTCCTCATCCTTTAGAAGTTTTTGGGAAGCAGCTGGCAGGAATATTGTTAGAAAGGACTCCTGTTCACACCCAGGTTAGATTAGAAGTCCTCTTTAGTCTAATCCATCTCTGAACTCTGAGATTCTGTGATGCTTTGTGTTGCACAGGACAGTCACCAGAACTTCCAGAACCTTAAAGCTAAGTTCCAGGGCCTGCAGGCTGGGTTTGGTGAGCTACCCAAGAAGCCACCACTGCCCAAGGGCTCTCAGCTGCCAGGCCTGGGTCGAGCCAATACTATTTCTGAGAGTTCCTCTCCTTCTGGGGCTCTTGCTGTGAACCAGAGGGGACCTTCATGGCAAAGACAAGGGGCCCCACCTAGCCCTTGGCTCCCGAACCTAGGGAGAGACTCTCAAGCCAATCCCAGGATCAGGGAGGCTCCCAGAGACCAGCAGCCACCATGGAGAGGTGCAGGGAATGCTGGAGAGAAGGCACCTTTGCCTCCAAGCCTCATCCCCTTGGACTCCCCAAGGACTCCTAGGAAGGAGCAGGATCTGAATGTCCCCCGCAGAAGACCTCTGCCACCTCTGAAGACTCTTGGTCCCCAGCCTTCCAAGCCCCCTCTTCCACCAGGAACCTTGCACTTAGAACGTTTCAGGAGAAAAGAGGCTACCCACAGAAGGGCTACAGGTAGGTGTTCAGATCATGTAAAGAAAGTTCTGAGAAGGGTGGAAGTCTCTAGATTATGGTGGCCTGTGGAGAGTAACACTCAGATTTTGGACCTAGGGTTAGAGGTCCAATGTGACCAGGATCCAGTTGTTCTGCTATTTGAAAAACTGACTTGTCCATGGGGTTATTTAGCTAGTACTGGGGGTGATATTCAAACCCAGTTCTTCCTACAGGAACTTCATAATTAGCTGTGAGAAAAAAAAATTTCAAATCTTCATTAATAAGTCATTATTCCTGAAAGCCCTCAATTGTCCTGGTATAACTGTATCCAGGCAAGAAGACCATCTTGGGCGGGGGGACCCAAGTGACAGCACTTTGGAAGCCAGGATCCTTCTCCAGTAGCAACTGTCTGAGCCCTCCAATTCCTCCTATCCCACAGTAAGTCTGGGGACTTGGGAAGGGTTGGGGAGGGCGCTTAGAGGAGGCTGTGGAAAGGCCCTATAGAATGTTGCAGGAAGCCCTAATCCCCACTCTCCCCTCAGGGATCCAGATGAGCTCTATGATGATGTGGAGTCAAGTCCCTGCCCACCAGGCCCCAAGAGGAGAGGTGTGTATCCATGAGGGAAGTGGAGCATGAGACATAAAGTTCAGGAAAGGTGGTGTGGACTTTCCAGTCTACAATCCTTTCCAGGAGACTAGCTCACTTTGGAAGCACTTCCCTCTCAATGAGTGGTACTAAGTATGGTTGGTCTCCATTTTACAAGCAAGGAAACTGATGGCCCAGACTGGGAAGTGAAGTCAGGGTTTGGAGATGAGGGTCCCAGAGAGGCGAGCTTTGGCTGGCTATCTCCTCTGTGCATGCCCAAGGCCAAGTCCCTTTAACCTAGCAGGGCCCCTTAACTGATGGAGTCTGAGCCTGTGGTCTGGGAACAAAAATCTAGGCCGTGCGTTCTCAAACTTTTTGGTCTCTTAAAACATTATTGAGGACTCCCCTTAAAGTGCTTTTGTTTATGTGGGCTGAATCTATTGATGTGTGTGTGTGTGTGTGTGTGTGTGTGTGTGTGTGTGTATTAGAAATTAAAACTGATAAAATTTGAGAATATTTGAGTTCATTTCATAATAATAAAAAACTAATTTCATACAGGAATAAAGAACATTTTAAATGAAAATAACCCTTTTTAAAAACAAAAATATCAGCGAGAATACCATTGTTTTACATATAAATTTCTTTAATGTCTGGTTTAATAGAAAATAGTTGAATTCTCCCCTCTGTTTCTTTGTTCACTCAGCTACAATGCTATTCTGGTTGAAGTTAAGAAAATCCAGCTTCACAGAGAGACATAGTTGGAAAAGGAAGGTATATTTTAGGAGGCAAATAATGCCTTGGAATTATGAAAATAATTTTAACCTCATGAACTTCCCTGAAAGGGTCCCACCCATTCTTCTCCCATTTCCATCTCTTCTCTTCCTGGGATCTCGGGAACCTTAGTTATTCAAGGAGTATCAGGGTTTGAGTTGCTATTCACCACTTACTGTGTGGCCCTGGGTAAGCTGCTTTCCCTTTCTGAGTCCCAGTTCACTTAGCTATAAAATGAGCTCAAAGTTGGAATTTGAACCTAGGTCCCCTGACTCCAAAATCAGCACCCTTTAGAGAAAATCAAGGGAGATGATGTACTAAAGTCCTTACTAATCCTAATGCTTCCTTTAGAGAAAGTCAAGGGAGATGATGTACAGAAGTCCTTACTAATCCTAATGCTTTCTTTAGAGAGTCAAGGGAGATGATGTACAGAAGTCCTTACTAATCCTAATGCTTTCTATAAAGCTCTGGGGACCCATTTGGAGGTTCCAATACTGCCCTGTGATCCCTTGTTGATTTTCACGTTCTTTCTCACTTGACCCTGTGAGGTTTGTTGTCTTAAGGGCAAGTGGCCTATCCTTGGGTCTCCTCATTGCCCTACTGACACATATACACCCTTCCCCCAGTTACAAGTGACTCCTTCTGCAACAGTCTTCAACCGCTGCTTCAGAAAACCAACTCAGTTGTAAGTGCAGCAGTCAGCATTCTAAAGGAGTGTCTTCAATCACTGGGGTGTCAATGTGGAAGCTGGAAAAACAACCTTCCAGGTAGCCCAGGGTATTCTAGCACATGGTCAGGATTTGGAGAAGGCAACCTTGGATATCCTTTCCAGGTCTGAGATGTGTTGACCCTTAAGCAAACCCAAAATAGGGCTGCTTCTTGAACTGGTTTTTGCCATTCCTGAGGTCCTCAGTGTAGCTTGCAACATCTCGTTAGCACACAGTTGACCACAGAAGATCTGGCTTCCTACCACTGCCTCTCCTGTGTTTCCGGGCAAAGGTTGCAGAATTAAGGATCTCCATCTGTGGATCCCCCTTCCCAAGGGGCTGAAATCTTGGTTGGGGTTGCTTTAGGGAGGGATAATCAGTGGATGTTTTTCCAAGCCTGGAAGGTACCTAGCCCTCTTGCCTGACTGCATCAGGTCTCATCATTCTTGCCCCTAACTCCTCATCTACCTTCTGTCCTAGTGAATCCCCCACAACCACACTTGCATGGTGGGGACTTGAAATGGATTTAGCCCTAGAGGAAGAAAGGAAGCTCTGGTTCTCCTCCATTTCTTGTTTTCTAGGGTCTGACTCTTTATGACCCTATGGACCATCGCCTGCCAGGCCCTCAACCTGAAGGTATCATCTTCTGATGTCTTCTAGTATCTTCATATTATCGATGGGGTTTCCTTGGCAAAGATACTGGAGTGGTTTGCCATTTCCTTCTCCAGCGGATCACCTTTTATCAGAACTCTCTACTATGACCTTTCCATCTTAGGTAACCCTGCACAGGAGCTATGCAAGCCCCTCTGGTATGACAAGGCAGTGATCCAGGACGGGTTTCTCTCATTCATAGGCTCCCCCTATTTGATTTCCAAGTCAGTCCTGGGAACCTCATTCACTGCTCCATAAATCTCCTCTGGCTTCCCTACGGCTACCTTGTTAGGAGTTGGATGCCAAGACCCACAGTAAGAGCTCTGTATGTCCATCTCTCTTACAGCTTTTGGCCAGCTCTAAAACACTGATCAGTTATCAACTCAGTGACCTTTAAGCATTCCTTCAACTGTTCCTTCAGGGGCAAATTTGAGGCCCTTAATCTCCCTCTTTCTGTAAGGAAACAGCTGCTCCTCCACTCCCACTGAACTTTCCCAAATTCAGTTGTCCAAATGGAGAACAGTCTTTGGACCCTGCCTAAATGGTCTCTACCTAAATGTTTGGTCTGCCAGGAATTCCAACAGTAGAAAAGGTCTGAGTCATTTTACAAAGAAAATTAACTGAAGCCCAGGAAAGTTCAGTGATTTGCCCAATGTAGCAGTCAGGACTGGAACTCCAATATTAGACCTCATGCTCTGAACTGCACCTAACAATTGTTCAGTTTTCTTCTTTCAAGTTTAATTGGACATTTTCTGTGTCAGTCAACAGTGCATGGAGTCCTCAATTTAAATTCCAAATTTGGGGGGTGGGGGGTATAAGGGGAAGGGTCTTTGTCTTAGTCCCAGGGCTCAGTTCTAGTCAGCTTGTAGATCTTGGGGAGGGGTGAGGAGGGGAGGCCCACTGCATCGTCTATCTCACCAATGGCTCCCTGCCAGCTGCTACGTTCCAAATGATTGGTATGCTCTGGTGGAAAGAGAACTAGACTTTAAATTACCATGAGTCTCAGCAATAATGCTGTTATTTGACCTCCAGGTGCCTCTCTTTCCTCATCTATAACATGGGGATATTATTACACGCACTACTTCCCTCTTATGCTTTCTTGTTGTGAAGTGCTTTGTAAACTTTCAGACACTATATAAAAATGAATTATTCCTTGCTTCACTCTGCCCTGCTCCTACTTACACACAAACACACGCACATTCACATATACACACTCACTCTACCTTGTAACCTGTCACCACAATAGAAACACAGTGCAGTTGTCTAGAAGAGCAAAAATAATTTTACTGCAGGTAGTGGGAGCAGTTATTTGAACAAATTTGGTAATAACAAAAGTGAAGGAAAATCAGAGTCCAGCTTCAGAATTCATTTTCTTAGGTCTTGGGTCTCCAAGCACACAAACTATTTCTGGCCTTGGGTACCCTCAACCTAATTTCCTGAGCTCACCTTCCCACAACTACTCAGGAAAAGTACCTTTTGAATCTTCAGGTTATGCAAGCCTCTGCACCTGAATTCCATCTACCATATCCCCATCATAGGGTCATTAGAGGTGGCTTGACAACCACCTACATGGGTGCGCCTCATTACCTCCTAAGGCAGTTCATTCCGCTTTTGGACCACTCTTGCCTCTCACAGCTTCCACCCATGGTTGCCTCATTCCATCTTCTGATGCCAAGGAGTCTCACCCTTCTTCCACCACGACAGTCCCACTAATACTTACGGACCACTGCCAGGTCTCTGCTTAGTCTTCTCATATCTAGTTCTTTCAGGTTCACAGATGGTTGAGTCTCCAGTTTGCTCCTTCTGGTCCCTCTCCAGTTCAGTTTCTCCGTATGTGGTTCTCTCAGAGAATGGCAGTCTGGTGGGGCTATCAAAATGCAATCCAGCCAGCCCTCTTCTCATTTAAAATTTCAGGGACTGGCTCACTATCCACAGCCAGTATCTGTCTCTAAGATACATGTATCAACAGATTAACCCTGGAGGTTGCCAATCCACTTTCAAGTCATTTGTTTATAAGCTGTCTTCATTCTGTCATTTCCCCCACATTTTCTCTCCTGATTCACTGCACCTCTCCCTCATAAGGCTCTGCCCTAGTGCTGTAGAGGAGGGTGTGGATGCGAGCAGCAGTATCATCCACAAACAGGGCTGTGTCTTAAAGGATCCTCATCACCTACAGAGAATCTCTCATTTGAAGTCTGCGCAGGTCATCCTCCATGACATCGCTACAGACCTTTGACAAGCTAGTCTCATTTTTAATTTGCTCCCTCCAGTCAGACACATCACTCAAATGTGTTATTGTACTGTTCTTTAATCCCAGAATCATCTTGCCTTTCCTATGAAAGTCACTCAGCCTCCCTAGTTTGTCTATAAATGACTCTGCTGTTACAGAATTAAACTTGTAGTCAAGTTCTAATACTTGGGCAAACTATTGTGGAGAACCAAGAGTTGAGGGGGATGGTGAGAACACCTTGGTCCCCTTTGCCAGCCTAGCTGTTTGGCTTCCTCAGATGACCTACTGGCTGCAGAGAGAACTCTCAAAGATTTCCAACAACCTGGCCTGCAACTGTGGTAACTCAGGGTTCAGGGTGCAGGGAAGGGGTCTGAAAACTCAAAAGGGAGTCTGGGGATGGGGGGGTGGGGGTGGGCAAGGCATCTGTATCCTTTTACAGATATGAATGTAACCATCCATCTTTAGGAACAGTTGGAAAGCCTCAGAAGAAGGTAAGACAGAAGAAATCAAACCCCTGAAGCCCCCAAAGCCCCTGAAGCAGTACAAGGAGGAGAAAGCAGAAAGGGAATTCAGGAAGAAATTTAAGGTCAGGAGAAAACATTTCTGCCCCATCACCCTCTTCTCAGTCCAATCTGGCCCAAGTACGAACTGGAGCTGGTGAAGTTTTAGGATCTGGGAATGATTTATCACAGTACATTGGTTTTTATATTAGGCTTTTGGGGATCCTATAAATATCTGGATGAATAACTGGGGTCAAAAGAAATTACCCTTGTTTGCTCTAGTTTGAAGGGGACATCGTGACTTTGACAAGAATGATGATTGACCCCAATGCCCACACCCGTCGTGGAGGTGGTAGAAACTTGGCTATTAGACGTGGGGAGATCCTGGATGTGATCCAGTTCACCAGCAGAGAACAGATTCTATGCCGGGATGTCAGTGGAAAATGTGAGTTGGTTAGTACGCTCTGCAAATGAGTGGGGCATTTGTCCTTGTAATCACATTAAGCTCATCTGTTCCCTTTTTGCAGATGGCTTCGTCCCCAGAACAGCTCTACTCCCCCTGTAAGTGACCAAGTTGAGGACATGTGGGCAAAAGTGTGGGTATTTGGAAGGCTTAGAGCCTTCTATCCTCAAGTCTACTTAGAGATAGGCTGGCATTTGTCAATTACTTATGGTCCATTCTCTCTTTGACAGGGAGACTGAGGTGTATGATGACGTGAGTTTCTAAGGTAGGTACTGTTGTGCTATATACACCCACTAGGCTTTCTTCTGATACGCAGTTCCAAATCATCTGTGGGGGAAAGGTGACACAAGTTCCCAAGGTTGGGCCAGCGTCCCAGTAGACCAGCTCTGTTCTCTTGGAGCAGCAAGGGAAGTTGGTAAGGAGGCGATTCCAATCCAGCCCCCATCTCCCAAGGGAAATTTAGGATTAGAAGCAACTGTAACCACTGACCTACCTGAAGGGCTACAGAGCCCCCATCTTCCTTTGCAGAGCACCCTTGGACCAGGCAATCTCCTCTTCCGTGGTGGGTCCAGAGAAAATGACAAGTTTCTCCATGTATGTAACCCATCAGCTTGTACAGTTCTCATGTATGAACACTGACTGCATTAAATCACCTCAAGTGGCTCTCTGCTTGACTGCTTCCTTCCTTCTATGTCCCCATCTCCTGTACCCTCCCTTTAGGGAGATGTGGAATGGAGAGATTTGGGTGAGAAGAAAGGGGGAGAGCAAAGGAGAATGAACTGTTTACACTCCCAGGGACTATCTCACTCACATTTTCTTGTGTAGAAGGAAACATCAAGTAATACATCTAATTTGCTTTAATAGTTTTTAGAAGCCAAGCTCTGGGCTGGACATTTAGTTCTAAGGAATGTTGGGACATACAATAATACAGTTATTTTGGTCTATCAAAAGAAAGCTTAGCCAAGGCCAAGAAAGAGGGAGATGCTGACTTGTTGAAGAATCAGCCCAAGGAGACCAGTATGTAAAATAAATTGGCTGTGTAGAGCTAGAGAGAGGTATCCCTACTAGGGGAAATTAGTTATAGCTACCTACAAACTTTGGCTGGCATCTGACCCACTGGTCAAATACCTCATTGAACCTTTTGCCTTTTATAGCCATTGTTGCTCTGAGGAAGGGGTTTGAGTGTAGAAGGCAAGAGGCATGTCTAAAAATCTGATGCCCAAATCCTCAGTACTGACAGTAAAAGTTGAGAACTAGTCACCACGAAGGGGAGAGGTGGAAGATGGGAGTCCTATCAGGAAGGAGACCTCCAAGAATTTGATGGCAATGATAATGATCACGACACTCTATTTCTCTCTTTAATGATCTAACAATTTCGTCCAGCTCAAGTAAGCTATGAATTAAAAATCATTCAATACTAACAAAGACAGATATTCAGAATATAACGAACATTTCCAACAGACTTCACAACGAGGTTAAGAGGCTTTCAGTAACTGGTATTTATTATCAAAGTCATAATGTCAACAAGATGCCACAACTACAAAAAAAAATTGCGTACATTGCAATCTCAATGCAAACAGTCAAATGGAATCCCAGTCATTAAAAAAGTAATTAAAATCACCCCAGAAAGCAACTGAATTTTAACATCTTTATACATCCAGCCAACAAATTAAAATGGTTAACAAGGAAAACAAAATACAAATTTGGAAGTCTGGTATTGATGTTAAAAAAAGGCAACTGCTTAAGCATTTCTATCAATTCGCACATCAATCTCTCTGCCACTGAGTTTTATCCCATTCATCATCCGGCAGGCTCTCTCTGCCACCTCTGGGGACTCAAACTTAACCACGCCACAACCCTTGGATTTGCCATTCTCCATCTTGATGTCTGCATACAACACATGGCCTGAAGAGAGGAGGAGAAAAAGACCAAACCAGATCAGGCCACCAGACCCATAACAAAGTCCCATGTTCTCAGCTTTCTGAAGGTCAAAAGCTACCACCTCCACTCAGTCCAGAACATCTGATGGATTCTGGGATTAATAATCACACAGAAGTAATTCCTTTTGAATTCTGCCACACTGACAAATACCCAGAATACATACACTTAAAATATAAGTGTTTTCTGTAGCTGACCTGCTATCCTAAGATGTCTATAATATTTGTAAACCCATCAAAAAGCTGGCTAACATCTATACTGTTCTTTAGGTTTCAGAAAATGTCATATAATACCTAATGCTTCCCAACCAGATTTTATCTCAAAGGCTTTGGATTGTCCCCCCCCCTTGATTTAGGCAGGTATATCTTTTAGGCAGGTATATCTACACATTTTTACATGTTATTTATTGAATTGTTCAAGGAACATTATTTAATGATAGGTCAACTATTACAAGCACTATCAAATCAATGTAAAAGTTGATCTATCTATACTTACCAAATATGCCCACCATGCATAAACCATAATCCAACAGGTCACAGTAATTTAGTTGAGATTTAAAGAGAAATAACCTCATTTATCCACTGTTAAGATTGTCTCAGCAACAAGAATAATTTTATGTCATCTTTAATATCAGTTATTCTTAAATGAGCAAGCAAGCAAGACAAATTTACCAGGTCTAAAGAAATTTAAAGATCCTCTTTTAAAGACAAAGTCAGTTTTAAATGAAGCTTTGTCTAGCCTCATTAAATAAAGCTGTGACTAACTAATCAGTTATAATCACCTAGGCAGGATTAACAAGATCTTGCCCAGATAATAATGCGATCTGCTCATTCATGGGGGTGGGGGGAGAAGGGAACAACTTCTTTAATCCCACAAGAGTACAAGAAAGAACCAAGACATGAGTTTCATGAAGGAAGAGAAAACTTTAGAAACTACAGGTATTCAGAGAGGCACGCAAATTGAGTAAGATGACACCTGACAAACCTAGAGCTCTCGGATAACATTTATCAAGCATTTAAGTACAGAAGACTGAAAAATTGTCAGCTGCAGATAAATACAAAGGTGACAATTTTTTAAAAAGCATCTACTCTGAGGCAATTTAAAGATGACCTATGAAAACAAAACACTGGCAAACTAACAATATGTACCTGACTCAAAGAACCAAGGAAGTATTAAAATTAACATGAAGTGATTCTAGATGGGTAAAAATCTTCACAGAGGAAGGTAAGACAGAAAGAGAAAGAGTGTTCTAAAAGCTTACTGAGGAAAGGCTGGTGCAAAAGTTTAGCGACAGAAGTAAGCAGCCTTGCTAAGCAGATGTGGAATAAGGACTCAATCAGGTAGAACATGGATAATGGTCAACAAAAGTCAATCAACAAGCATTTATTGAGTGTCTACTGTGTACCTATCACTGTACTAAGAGCTGGGGATGCAAAGAAGGCAAGAACTGTAGGTTCTCAGGCTCATGAGAAGGGCTGGGGAGGGATAAGACAGCATGGACAATCCGAAAAGAAACCCATCAACAAAACTAGGAGAAAAGGATAAAACTATCAGGAAATGCTTTATTTAGTAGAGTGCCAAGGAAGAAACAGAAACTAGGCACCTTCTAATAGGATGCCTGGTTAAAAAAAAAGCTTCACTTGAAGCACTTTGAGAGTTTCACATTTGCCAACAGAACAAAACCTTTGCTTTGAAGTGTTAATCCAGTGTAACCAATCACCAGCAACTTTCACACAGGGCCAACAAGTCTGATGGCAACAAAAATGTGCTCCATGCTGATAATTCTGTCATGGGGAGGAGAAGCTGTAGTGACAGGAGAAGGGATGGCAGCATGTATCAGGCCAACTGGGCCCTCAATACCACCAGGACTCCTGAGGAGACTCAAGGAGGCATGACTAGGGAGTGCTTACTGGATGGAGACAAAATCGAGATCAGACCAAGGATGTTTCTAGTGTGTACTAAATATTTTGCATAAATTCTATGAGTTTTCTACTAAAGCAGGAAAATTCCAACCTTCTTGCAACAGATGGATATTGGAATGCATCACTGATTTCCCCTCAAAACAAATATTTTCATCCCCAAACCTTAGGGTTTCACATAACCTGGAAACATGCTTATCAACATCTTAAAACACTTACCACATTCATTGAATTTGTCTTTTAGCATTTTCCATGTAAAGTCAAAAGGAAGCTGAAGGAGAAAAAAATTACCACACTGTAATTAAGGCACTACAGTTGTGCAGCCCACAAAAAACCTCAACATGCTTCAGTAATATTATTTTTGAAGTTAAAAATACTGCTTATTATAGAGAAGCCAATTATGTCACTGACTTCAAGGCTAAGAAATTCTTGATTAAAGATGCAAACAGTCCGATGAACTATTTGTTAACATTCCTTTACTATCAGTTCTGTGAAAGGAAGGAAGAAGCTTCCTGAGATTTAACATAGAAGCTTTCCATGGCAATGGAGAGGGAGAGGAGGGGGGGAGTGAGAAAGAGAGAGAGAGGGTTCCCTCTACTGACTATCTTTTAAGCAGAAAAAGTGGATGATCACTCATCAGACATGAATTACACTATTCAGCCAATGAAGTGCCTTCCAACTCTAGAATTACAAATTTCTATTTTGCCAATTCTTGTGTCAGAAGTATTGTTGAGGAGAGAGAGAGAGACAGTAAACAGAGGTTCTCATTTCCTGTCCCTTTCTGTGAGTGATTAACAAAGAAGGAAAAGGAGAGACAGCACACTGATGCTCAGTTTGGGGTTGTTTTTTTAAAAACCACTGAAAGCAGATAGCTCCACAAACTGGTTACAAGCCTGGCTGCAGATCACATGGGAACGTAGAACACAGGACACCTACCACTGTTATGCTATTAAATTCCTATGGGAGCTGTGTGCCCATGAATCTGATCAAGAGAGTCAAGGGCTCATGTCCTGGAAAGGACTAGAGGGGCCTACTGGATTCCCAGTGCATCCAATCACTTCCCTTACGGAGTAGGCAGGAAACAAAGCAAGGGAAGAACACTCGTCTAGTTCTTGTGAAGGTTAACTAGAACAATTTTAAATACAGTTGAAAATGAAGGTCCCATGTACATGAAAACATAGCAGATTTCTTTTTTTGGTAGTAGTAAAGAATTAGGAACAGGGCTCTATCAATTGGGGAATGGCTAAACAAATTATTGCACATAAAGTACGTATGCAAATGATACTGGAGATTTCTGCAGTAGGGATGACTACATCTACAGCACAATTACTGTGCTATAAGAAATGTTCCTTTCATAGAAGCATGCAAAAACTTATATGAAGTTTGCAAATGCAAAGTTAAGTGAACAGAACCAGGAAAATACACACAATGTAAATGGGAAAAAAAAAATCAAAATGGAAAGCCAAGAAATCAAAATTAAAATGACCTCAAAGATATGAGAACAAATCACATCTCCCTCTCTTCTTTGTAAAGATTCACTCTCTGGAGAGTGAATTAGTAACTTCTCTAGCATGAAATATGAATGCAACATAAAACCTCATTGGTTCAAAATTTATCAGATTTTAAAAAGCCTTCCCACTGAAATTCCAGGGTCTTATAAAGACTCCAATTGCTTTTCAAACTACCCCACCCTCCACCCACCTCTGGCACAATGCCTACCAGAAAAAGCACTTTAAATGTTTGTGGAATTGCTTAATTTAATTCAATTTGCAGGTCTGATGATGCATTCTGGTATGTTAGAGAAGGCAGGAGTTTGTGAACTTCACTGTTTACCACTGATTTCATTTTAACGATCAGTTGGTCCACATGTATGTGTTATGCCTAAAAGTAAATTTGATTTATTGAAAACTATTCCGATGCAACACATATTACCAAATAAAATCAGTCTGGCCTCTTGACTGCATTGATACTGAATTACAGAGGGTTTCCTGGGTTTTGAGACACTGAAAGGATAAGGCAAGAGTGAAAATAAAAGGTAATAGACTTACATTTCTCACAAATATCTGGCAGGCTTTTCGAGCAACCCCAGGTACGTGGCCACCAGCACCTCCAAAAGACCCTGCAAAACTGCCTCCAAAATTTCCCCTATCCATTTCCATAGCTCTGTCAAAGCTACCTCCCATGGCAAGTCCCATGCGCTCCATTCCAGAACCTAGGGCTGGACCCATAGTGGGACCCATTCTCTCTATGTTGTTGGCACCCATACGGTCCAATCCCATGCGCTCTATGTTATTGGCACCCATACGGTCCAATCCCATGCGCTCCATGTTATTGGCACCCATACGGTCCAAACCAGTAGACATTCGATCCATAACTGGGCCCATGCGATCTATGCCAGTTCCCATGCCAGCAGGCACCATACGATCCATACTTAGACCCATGCGATCCATGGTGGTGCCCATGCGATCCACACCTGATCCCATCCTCTCTATAGTTGAGCCAACCCGATCTATAGGAGCAGCCATTCTCTCAATACCAAAACCCATGCCAGCCCCCATTCTCTCTACACCTGAACCTATCCTATCCATGGTTTGGCCCATCCTTTCAATGCTTGTAGTCATGTGGTCTATGCCAAGAGGACCCATTCGTTCTATTCCTGACCCCATTCTCTCTACAGTTGACCCCATACGATCCATGACAAGGCCCATTCTCTCCATCTCGGACCCTACTCTATCCATTCCATGGCCTAGGCCAGAACCCATTCTTTCCATCCCAGCACCACCTATGCGGTCAATCCCAGGGCCCATCCTCTCGATTCCTGGTACACTGCCACCACCACCACCTAAAATAAGAAAAAACAGGGCTAAGTATTAGGGATTTGGGGAGTGGCCAATGGAGGAACACTCTATCTGGCTTAAAAGGAAAGTAATAAAACTTCCATAAAAATGGTGACTTCTTTGGGAAAGACATGGGGGGCAGAAGCAGGGAGAAGAGATGCTTAACAACTCCAAATTTCACAACAAAGGGAATTAAACCAACAAACTTTCAAATTATCAAACAAAATTTTTCTTTTCAGGCCTTGGCTTATTTTAAGAGAACTATTTTGTTACTCTGCTAGTGCTAAGTAAGCACTTTTTTAGCAAGTTGGAAAGAGCTGATTGTAAGAAGAATAATGTATCCAATATAGATAAATAATAAATAAGGTAGAATTGTTGTTCAATTATTTTTCAATCGTGCCTGACTCTTCATGAACCCATTTTAGGTTTTCTTGGCAAAGATAGTAGAGTGTTTTGCCATTTCTTTCTCTAGTTTATTTTACAGATAAGAAAACTGAGGTAAACAAGATTAAATGACTTGCCCAGGGTCGCTAATAAGTGTCTGAGGACAAATCTGAAACCAGGAAGAAGGAGTATTCCTTATGCTAGGCCCAACACTCTATCTACTGTGCTACCCAACAATGTAGATAAACTACTTTATTTACTAAATTTAAACCTATACTTTGGAACAACCCTTCCTCATCTCCTACACTCTTGGCTGATTCCTTTACCATAATTAAATGATCAGATGTTAACAGGAAGTCCAAAAGACAGGAATTTGGTTTAAAAATAAATCATACATTGTTTCTGTGCTATGAGTTCACATTTCCAAATACATGTTATTCAACCAACTTGAGAATTAAATAAAGATGTTAACCATCAATGGCTTTCTAAATCAATGAGAAATATGGGAATTGAGAATGCAGTCTGATTTAGGGCATTAAAAAAAGGACCATTAAAACCTTTCCCTAAGATCTTAGAATTGACCATTGGTAACTAGATGGAAACTAGGTAGGCTTTCTGTTTGCCAGATACCAATGAAAAATGGCAATAGTGATTAGTATAAATAACAACAGGCTAAATCACACAGGAACCACATGTTTGTATGGAAAAAAAAAACCAAACCCAAACCCAAAAACATGTTATATCTTAATAATTTTAGGATATTCAAAACTAAGGGGGCACAATTTAGTTTAGAAGACTCAAATTATTACACTAACAGACTGCTTTCCAAACCATCAGTAACACCTCTCTTAACTGGTTGATTCAAATGGCTTCTTACCCATTCCCCTGCCAAGAGGTTCTCCAAAACTCCGAGCCATTCCCATCTCATTCCGAGCAAAGTCTCTCTCAAATCCTCCACCCATTCCTCGATCCATTTCTGTGGAAAGAATCACCTTAGGGGTTACAAAGCTCCCAGGCTAAGTTTGGGGCATTCCCCAAAGAATCAACTATCACAAAGATGAAATGGTTATTTCTTCCATAAGCAATTCTCTTTCTCATCCTTATTTCTTGAACAGTTTTCTTCAGAGAAGCTCACAACACTGCATGAGTACCTCTCCAAAGTATGTGAATTCTGTTACTTGTCCACTTAAGACATATTCCAAAGGCAAAGAAGGTGATTTTGTTTTAATTGACATCTATTTCTTCTTTTAGGCAATTGGGGTTAAGTGACTTGCTGAGGGTCACACAGCCAGTGTTAAGTGTTTGGTCTGAAGCTGGATATGAACTCAGGTCCTCCTGACTTCAGTACCGCTGCTCTATCCACTGCGCCACCTAGCTGCCCCTTTTAATTGACATCTAGTCAGCAACCCAAAGGACAATCCCAATCTTCTGACTGGATGTCTGATGGCCCACCCACTAGAAAGATGGGCATGGCAGAGAGGAAAGGACCTGGGGCTTCAAATTACAACAAAGGGAAGTTCAAGTGCCCATTTGCTACTTCCTAGATATGGGACCTTCTCTTCTCAGCACCTCAATTTCATCCTTTACAAAATGAGGATAATTCTGCATTGTCCTGCTTCCCTTAGAGGATGTTTGAAGGACCAATGGGAAGAATGTACATAAAGCACTCCTGACTTGATACAGCACTACTGAAAAAGTCAACTACTAGCTCTCACAGAGAGTTGCAGTTTTAGGTATTTCCTCTCTAAAGAAGCAGGCCATTGATGAATTAATATTGCTCTAAATAAGCCTATCTTTTTTCCTCTTGAGATTTGGAAACTTCTTTAGCTGATATAGAAGCTGGTATTAGAATACTTGTTACAACAGGATTTGACCTACAGCTCTGCTCTTATTTAGAAACAGGTTTATTTTAATCAGCTGGCCATTCCCTCAGCACTGAGTAACAATATTTTTTAGTATCAACGCATCCTCTAAGTCTAATCATATTAAAGGGAATTAAAAATTCTTAACCATTTCATGTTCCACTTAGCTTAAAAACTTTTCTCAGACTTATCTACCTAAACCCGTAAGTGAAGTTTAAAGTCACTCACTAGAGAAGAGGAATAACACATCAATTACAGCTATATTAACATATAAATAACATGTATTTTGGGCACAAGTTTATAAGAATCACACTGAAAAGGTTCAATACTTGGCATTTATTCTACTGCATGTGCTTTGCAGACACACTCCAATTTTAATTCTCTATCCCTTAACTGGCCAACAAAGACACTAATAAATTACTTTTACCCCAGTCTCTTTCTTCCTTTATAGAACCTTTTGTGAACTTATTCAATGGCCCTGTCTTTCAAAGCTTTTTTAAATAAAGGCCATTGTCTTTCATATGCTAAAAAACAAAAAATAAAAACAAACCAGCAGCCGCTAACTTTTATTTTTGTTTTATTTGTTTTTGCTAGGCAATGGGGTTAAGTGACTTGCCCAGGGTCACACAGCTAGTAAGTGCTAAGTGTCGGAGGCAGAATTTGAACTCAGGTCCTTCTGATTCCAAGGCCAGTGCTCTATCCACTGCTGCTCCCCAGCAGCTAACCTTTAGAGAGCACTTTACAGATATTATCTCATTTAATCCTAAGAACCAGTAGGTATGCAAATATTACCTCTATTTTAGAAATGGAAAAATCGAGGCTCAGTGAAGTCAAGAAATATTGCCAGGTCACACAACTAATAAGCATCAGAGTTTGGATAAGATCTTATGACTCCAAACCCAGGGCTCTATCATCTAGTCTGTCTAAATGAGTTCTAAGTTCCCTGCCAGCTCTAAAAGTCTAACTGAAAGGATCTGAATAATCATGTTTTAGGGAAGATCATCACATACCATAATATATCTGAATTTATCACTTGCATGAAAATGGAATTTTGTTCGGGGAAAAATTTTCTTTAAATTTCTTTACAGGAGTTTGTTCATATTTCTCTTCTCCAATAGGAAAAAATCAACTGTCAGACTGTACATAACATCTTTTAAACCAATTATATTCATGTTTAAATTCAAACACTTGGAAGGAACTTAAAACTATTCACTGCTCAGCTGGAAATTAACTACATGAGGCATTGTGCTGTTTAAGACAACATATGAAAGCTTCATCAATTGTCTGGGAAATTCCTGTTAAGCCTGGAGAACCAAAGGAAGCATCTACAATAAATGTACATTGCATCTCCTGATTCATTTAGCAAATCCAGTATGTGCTTTACAAAGCCTTTGCTGGTTTAGCGGCAGAGTGGAAGTGGAAAATGGTTTTACTAATAGTTTTTTGGGGAAAATACTGCTTCTGCACCAAGCTGTGTCTTCCATCTCAAAACAGAAGACTGGAGTCTAAATACTATAGCAACCAGATCCTCACCACTCATTCGGCCCATGTTCATGCCAGATCCAAACCGACCCATGTTTTCCATGCCGCCACCACCAAAGGGGCCCTCCATGCCTGAAATTAAAATGAAACCTTTAATCTCACTGCTAGGGAGCCACGGACACTAACTGGGGAAAACGACACTTTCATATGCTTCCAGCTGGGAACTGACCAGCACGGGTGTTTGAGCCTTTGGAAACAAGCACGTCACCTACCGTACTGGTTCTCATACCAGAGGGTATAAGGGGGCCTGCTGAACTAATGTCAGGGGGAAAGGTAGTTCCTAGACTCAAACTCAAAAGTTCACAGAGGGTGCTAAGAATGAGCAAGGGATGGAAGATAAAAGATGACACAAATGCTGGTTATATTAAGAATTTCTTACCTCCCATTTTGTTTATTCCAAATCCCATGCCTTCCATTCCCATTCCTTAAAAAGAAAAATTCAATGCAAACAAACTATATCAAAGTAGTAAATGATGTACGTTAGTTGAACAGTAACAGTGTGCCAAAAAGGAAAACGCCATTCTCAGTAACACCTCACATTTGTATAGTGCCTTTTGTTACAAAGTACTTTCACGTTTAATCTTCAACAATGCACAAGTAAATTAGCCAATTTTATAAGCAAGGAAATTGAGGGTCAGAGAAATAGTGACAAGAATTAAGACCCAGAAGGCTCCTCTGACCTGAGGACCACAACTCTTTCTACGACACATCACAAAAGCATGGCTCCATCAAGTGGATAATAAAGAAAACATTTCATTCAGCCCACTGCTCTCTCTAGCCCATTCAGTTTTTGTTAGACCCTGATTTTATCATCCAACATATCCCTCCTAGATTCCATATCACTTGCATATTTGATATCTGTTATTTATGCCTTCACACAAAGCACCGCTAAGGCCATAAACACAGGAGCTCCTTCATGTACTGTACCATGTTGCTAAACTAGGAAGCTGAAAAGGCACAAGAATTCTCAATTATGACGATCCCAGACTGAAACCACCAGACTAGATGGGAGCTGATACACCCAATGTTACACAAATGATACTATTTCAATACACGTGAGTGTTATGCTTGTTCTATTTTAAGTATATTTATAAAACACAGTTTTTCAACTGCCTAATAAATGCCATTTTTGATAACAGAAAACTGAATACCAGGCTCAGGAAATAAGAAAATAGGGAAGACCAAAAAAGTCTGAAAACCAAACCATTTCTTCAAAATATTGTTTACACCTCAATTATCTGACACCACAAGAGACTAGACTTACAGAATGCAATGAAACTATTTCACATATTAATTTTTCAGATAACTAAAGCGTATCCCTTTTAAGAACTATAAAGTTTCTTTTCTCTAAATTTAATGATAAAAATCTTTCAACAATGTTATCACGTACTTTTCTTTCTTAAAAGAAACTAAACATAAGCACCTCTTTCCCTAATAAAATAGTTGTGACCATCAAGGTTCAAAAGCTATTGGTATTCACAGGGCTGTTTGCTCCAACACTAAAGGGCACCAGACGGCTAGGTCTTTCAGGTTTTGACTTTTTATGGTTTGTATTTTTTCTCTTTGTGGCCAGGAATCATTTCTTGTCATAAGCTGTGTGTTTACCTTTTAAGAGTAGGCTTTAAAATGAAACCACAATCAATCAAATGGTTTATATACACATCACTGAAATGATTTCACTAAAATCTCTTATAACCTTGTTTGTTTTGGGAGGGTTTCCTTAGAAACTGGCAACAAGATAACAACTCTAATAACAAGGAAATTCATGAAACTATAGGGGTCAAGTCATGGAATCCAGGCCTGGCTCTATCACCATATGACCTAAACAAGAACACTCCTCTATCAGCTTCTTCATCTGTCCAATGGAAGAAATAACTAAATGACCAATTCCAAAAGGAAAGGGCCTGTTGTATCTTTTGTATTTCTATTTGGTAGGTATTATAGCCCATTACATATACTAAGTGCTTTTAATAAATAGGTTCAATCAACTTGCCTACCTATTTTAGGATTATTTTAAGAATAAAGCCAAAATATGAAATCACTTTTAAAAAATCATTTTCTGTAAAAATGTGAGGCACACACTGACCAATATATTTACTTTCACTATCCCCTAGAGGAAATCTTGCTTCTTTTCAACACAAATAGTACAATGGAATAAGGTGAACTTTCCTTACCTGCAGGTCCTATGTTGCCCATTCCTATGCCTTTGTTCAGATGATTAGCATCAATGGGCTGTCCTCCTGGTCCTAGCCCCATGCCAATGCCACCAAGTCCATCTGGAGGGAAGAGAGAGAGGTCACAAGTATGAATTTTCACATGTAAGAAGGCTATAGGAGCAAATCCATTTTGTTACCTGGAATCTTTAATACCTGTCACACTTCTTATCCCAAAATGCTAAGTACATGTATTATAGGTATATGTTGCGGAAGATCCTCCGAAACTTCATTTGTTCAGAGCAGTGAAGTGCTTTGCCTAGAATTATCAAGTATCCAGATATACATAATCTATTAATTATCCATAACCTATCTTTCCCCTCTCCCCCACTTAGGCAGTTAGGGTTAAGTGACTTGCTCAGGGTCACACAGCTAGTAAGTGTCAAGTGTTTGGTCTGAGGCCCCGTTTGAACTCAGGTCCTCCTGACTTCAGGGCCAGTGCTCTGTCCACTGGGCCACCTAGCTGCCCCCATAACCTACCCCTGCACTCCATTTCAGAACCAGAGAGTGACTGATCTATAATTACACATTAGGAAAAACATACAGCAAATTACTAGTGGTCCAGGAGTTTCTATTCAGAAATTTTCTTCCCCCAACTGAAACCTGGGGATAAAGTACTTAGAATGGAACTGTATAATGCCATATGTTACAAATACATGTCTATATCTCAGGAACACCATAAGCTTCTATGAGTTGACCTAGGAAGTCAGTCATCAGTCACAGAATCTTAAGAGCTGGGAATGCCATACAAAGGAATAATGCACTAAGAATTATATACATTGTCTGGTTAATAATATTGACTGACAGTCAATGGTCACACAATACTACCTGATGTGAAGGGTAATTACAAAGGAATAGCAACGCAATTCTTTTCCTAAAGCAGTTACTTACAAAGTTGTTATCAAATACAACCAGCCCGGAATATATTTACAGATTAGCAGGCTTCAGACGTCTGTATAGTATACACTATTGGGCTGTAGGACTATCCACTGTTGTGCTATGTTTTGCACAGTATCTTAGAGCTGAAATCAAGGTTAATTAGGCTAAGAATAGGGGAAAAAAACTCTAGAAGGAAGAAATATTCACGGAAAGATCCTTTCTGCAAGCCAACATGGTTGCCAGCAGCCTAGCTGTTTCTATTATTCTTAATCAAGTAGCACAAAGAGTTGATCTCTATGGTTTCATGGTCCCAAATCACACAGGGCTCTCTAGACTCAAGTCAACACCTGGATATGGACTTGGGGAGCCAAATAAGTAGCCAATGAAAACAGGAGAGCACAAGATTAATGAGTTCCCTGGGACCAATATCCTATTATAAAGTTCTGCACCAGCTGAGGTTGAAAATGAGTCACCTTCTATATTAACAAATGGTTTCCAAAGAAAGTTTACATTTATTTCTTATAACTTGGAAAGTCAAGTTAAGCATTTCACTATGGAATAATAACTAAATGATTTATAAAACACCTTCCTCACTATAAACCTATGAAGTAGCTGAAGTAACATTATCACTATTGGGGCAGTTAGGTGGCGCAGTGTATAGGGCTCTGGCCTTGGAGTCAAGAGGACCCGAGTTCAAATATGACCTCAGACACTTGACACTTACTAGCTGTGCGACCCTGGGCAAATCACTTAACCCTGATTGCCTCACCAAAACAACAAAAAAAAAAGGCACGGGGCCGGGAAGATTTGTAGGGACAAGGCCAGTCTAAATCAATTCAATTGATTTATTAAATTCCTCAGCAAAAAAATCAGAATTAATGAACATCTTGAAAAAATGCTTCCACTTAGAAGACTACTTTGTCTCCTACTCCAAGTAGATTTGAGGCCCTTAAGCTGAGCTTTCCTTACCTGGCCCATCTTCTACCTTAGAGAAAAAAAATAATTTCTATTTATTTGAGAATCATTCTTTAAAAGTTTCTAGGGCCCAGCCAATGGGGAATTCCTCAACAGTATTCCTGATGATAATCCATACAACCCAGGCTCTGATCACTTCTCTCCTATATCTATGATGATAAAAACTAGCATTTACATAATTCTATGGTTTGCACAGTGCTTTACAAAAAACCATCTCATTTGCTCCCCCCACAACCCTCTGTGAGGCAGGTGATATTATTCCCATCTTATGAGATGCAGAAACTGAAGGAAACAGAGGTGAAGTGATTTGTCCAGGGTCACACAGATTGTATGTGTTTGAAGCCAGATTTCAACTCAAGTTTTTGTGACTCAAGGTCCAGAGCTCTATTCACTGATTAATATAAAACTAAGGCCGGAGACAGTATATTATTTATGGATATTCACAGCTATACGAGTAGGGTGGTCAAGTAACTTCAAGTCATCTCCAAGTTCTAGTTTCTTTATCTGTAACATGGAACATACCCACAATGACCACACCTGGTTACTGAAAAAAGCACTTGGCAAATCCTTTAAGCCTTTTAATAGAAATTAAGTTGTTACAAGCTGCTGGATTTATATTTATTCCTTATTTTATACCATGAAAATTAGTGCAAGATAGAAGTGTTTGTTAAATATACGTGTGCCCACACACAATTATCACATCAATGGACTTTTCATCAGATATCTACTTGCAAACATTCAAAATAAATAAAGAGCCATGGAACTGATACTTACGAGGGAGTTGTTGGGGGCGCTCGGGAGGGAAAAAGTCACCCTTTGGCAAGGCCCTCTCATCCTGAATAGGAAAAAAACAAGTTTACCCTCCTCATAGACAGAAGAGAACAGAGCATCAACCTGATCAAAACCAATTATTTTATACAAGTTTACTGAATGTAACCATTATGAACACAATTTTACTCTGAAACCAAGTTGTTTGGAATTTCAGTAGCATCAAGAAGCCAACTTCTAATTAGAGAATTGTCTTGAATTCTGACTTTCTCCTCTAAAACCCGAATATTTACCGAACCTCTAAAAGCCAGAATATTTAAAAAGCCTTTTAGACTTCTACATAAGAATGCAGAATTTTCTATTAAGAAAATTGAAAAACTTTTCTTGACAAAACCTTATACAAGTCTGTTAATTTTCTTAATGGATGCCTTCCAGAAAATCATCCTTCCCAAGGTACCAAGAAAATGCCATACTTAACTGACAAATAAAAGCTATTTGAAGGAGTAATAAAACACAAAATTATGACTTATCCATCCAGAACTTAATTCAGTCCTTCATTTGCTTCTTCAGAGCAACAGTCAATATATGTTAGGTTCTATCAAAGGTCCCTAAACCTTTTCCAGAAGTGAGCAACCTTAAACCATCAAAGTATGTCAATTTGTACAGTCCTAAATGTAAAGAAAGACTTTCTGGAGAAAGGTGGCAGACAATAGCAGCAACAACAAAAATTAAGAGCAGCACCACTGTGACCAGGTCTTGACTGGGAGCCCTTGTAGCTTTGGCAACAAGAGACAATTTAAATGAAGCACAAAGTTTTGCTTGATGCAACTTTGTGATACTCATAAGCCCGATAAGCCAAATGTTGGGGGACACTGGTTTTTTTTTTTTATTAGCTGGTCAACTCTTATTTTATCCATGCCAATGGCACAAAATCAAGTGTTTTTGGCTTAGGCAAATATTACTTGAACTTGAATCCCTTGAACAGATGTACCCAAATGAAAGCTGGAATAGTCCAGAAATACTAGGTGGAAGGTAGAAACCAAGGATATGTTATCTGTTCAAACAATCTACTAATCATTACATATTGTTACAAGGGACTAAGGGGACATGTTTCAGTAAGAATCAATTCTATCTTCAGAACTAAACCCGTTTTCCCAGCCTGTGACTACGTCTCTAACATAATAATTACTAGTGGTTCATTTTAAAAGGTCAAACATAGTAACTGGCTCACTATTTGGTCTCCTATTCATCTAAACTGTCTTAATAACTGGCACTTTTGACAACCAAACATAAAAGGAATATTTATGATGATCACAAAGCATAATTTGATATTAAGATTCAAACATATTTGATATACTAGTATTTTATACTTAAATATAGATATACTGTAATCTAACCCATTATAAATCCGGAATTCTTTTATCTATCCATCTATTTATTTATTTGTTTTTAGTGAGGCAACAGGGGTTAAGTGACTTGCCCAAGGTCACACAGCTAGTACATGTCAAGTGTTTGGTCTGAGGCCGGATTTAAATTCAGGTCCTCCTGACTTCAGGGCCAGTGCTGTATCCACTGCGCCACCTAGCTGCCCTAAATCAGGAATTCTTATATATACAGTAACTACCGATGCAACACACCCCATTTTCTACCTACAACAGATAACAGAAAAATTTTACCAATGCACTGCAAATCTGTTTAAGCTGCCATAGATGGTTTTTTTAAAAATAGGTTTAAAAAAACCCCATCAATTGCACATGCTCAAAAGGTTCTTAGCATGCATTAAAACCTTTAGCTACTTCTTTATAAACTGTCCCATTATCTAGATTACTGGATTAGACAGTAATATTCTCAGAGAGAGTAAGAACTAGATAGATATTGATTGTTAATGGTTCAATGGCAAGTCTCCAGCTGAATATCCCTGGTATATTTGACATTTTAATCTACAACCTGGATGGATAAAAGCATAAATTCTATTTGTATCAAATCTGCAGCCAAACAAAGCTGGGACGATAATTAACACACTAGTTAACAAGCCAGGATCCAAAAGGATTTTGATAGGCTTAAGTACAGGGCAGAATCAAAATGACATTCAATAAGAATAAATGTAAAAGCCTTGCACTTGGGCACAAATTAGCACCACTCCACAAATACATCTTATTTGAGAGGAAAGCTAAGGCAAATCCCAGTCTGATTAAGAAGTGACTTAAGCTTCCAGGAAGAGGAAGGAGTGAGTGCCACTGTACTCTGCCATCATTAAGATTTTATATGGAGTACTATGTTTAATTCTCGACACCAGAATGAAGAGCCTTGAGTTCATGTCATAAAAGAATCAGCTGAAGGAAAACAGCATAGTTAGCTCAGAGAGGAGAAAACCTAGGGAAGTCATGATAACTATCTTCAAGTATGTAAAGGTCTCTCACATGGAAGAATGATGATTTATTCTCTTTGGCCCAAGAAGGCAAAACCAGGAGCATTGGGGGCTACATTGAGGATGGTCAGGATTTAGGCTTGCTACCAAAAAAAATTTCCTAACAACAAGAGCTGCCCTAAAGTGAAATAGGCTACTGAGAGGTCCCAAGTTTCCTCTTTTTGGAGGTCTTTACGTTAAAGCTAAATGATCATTTGTCAGGTATATAATAGAAGGATTTCTTTCACATCTGAGACTAGATGGTTACTGTGGTCCTAATTCTCAAATTTCATGATTCTGAAATTCTAAAGTAATACATATAATGGAAAAACCCTTGTGTCAAACTTACCATCTTCACATGCATTGGTCTGTCGAACAGCAGCTGGCCATTGAACATTGCTGATATATTAGTTAAGGCCATCTATTTGCTATCTTCAAATCAGAGATCTCAAACTCATAAAGAAACCCATGTGATTCATCTTCAACTATGTCCAAGCTATCATGAGCACCACCACAATGTTTCATACGTACAACTTTTCTTCTTTTCAGTTGTCTTCTCCAAATGAACTTTTTCTCTAACCATGGCACAGTGGCTACAAGGGTCATGGGTTTTCAAGGTGAACCCTGGATTAATAGGTCCACATACAAAAATGTGAGCTTTTTGAAAGAAATACAGTCCAATGATTATACTGGGGTACACTAATGTAAACAATGTAAATCAATAAACACAAATATGAAGAATACAAAGAAACCTGCAAAGATTGTTACAAAATAATGCAAAGTGAAAAAAGATAAAACAGAAGAACAGAATGCATGTTGAATTTGTACAACCATATCATAGGAAAGGTGAGTAAGAAGAAACAATGGAACCTGGATATATCTAGTTACCAAAGAATCATGCTGATACTTTAGTGTTGAAATTTAATAAAGGTTACTAATAAGCAAGTTCAGTATTGATGTTATTTTTTAAAATTTAAATAAAATGCATACTATGATTTTAAGGAATATAAAGTCCATTTAACCCATAATAGATACTATTACATGCAATAATGATGATCACAATTAATATCTGTATAATGATTTCAGGTTTCATTTTACCCTTATAGCAACCCTGGGAGGTCTAGTACTACAGGGTTTATCTTCATTTTACAAGTGAGGAAACAGGGCTGGAGAAGCCACAGCACTAGTCCACTACTCCACGGTCACACAACCAGTAAAAAGTATCAAAAACAGGTTTCAAATCTTGAATCTCTCCTAAAGTAAACCAAGTACTCTTTCCACTTTGCCATACATATTCTCTCCAACATTAGAACATTTTCTATTGAAAAAGTACAGAAGTCCAATCTTCTTAGTAAATAGTAATTGGTATTAAAAATTTCAGGATTATTGGTGATCACATAGTGAACGGAGATGTAATTAGGTGCAGTAGAAACTGGCCTACCCTGTGTGAAATCAAGAATGGGTTTTTCCAGTAAACTCACTACTAATCCAAAGGACTGAACTGACAAAACACGGGTATTTTAGCCTCTTTTTTGTTCTCCCACTTTTCCATAAAAGTGAGGGAGGACAGGTGTGGAGCACTAAATATAACACCAGACTTTCTGGGTATGTTGGCATCGTTCTTTGGGAAGAGATGCAATACATTAATGCAAGCAATGAAATTAAGACTGAAGGTGAAAACTGTCAATAAAAATATAAAGAAAACATTGAGAGAAATCAGGAAAAAAAACAAAACAAAACTCAGGTTCATTACCTATCAACCTTCTTCAGTCTATTTCATACCAAAGTACTTTTTCAAATTCCTCAGTGGTACATTACTCTTTTCAAACAGATGTCTCTCATATCTGAGGTAAAATATGATATAGTAACTGTCCCCCCAAATCAGACGTGCTTTAATCATTAGGATGGTAATGATACAGATTCAAAAGGATACATATAGCCTGAACTGCTTCAATTGACTGTTCAAAAGTAACAGTTCCGATTCCACGACTTTTCCCGTCTTTATCTTCAAGAATGTCTGCTCTAACCACTACGCCAGCCATACAGAACACTTCCTTCAGTTTCTTCCAGCCAACTTTATAATCCAGCTGAAAAGGAAAGGACTCTGTACATCATGGAATATTTACAAGGAGTTTTTACTTCATAAACAGGATATAACATTTGTTGGGAGCATGTGTTAGAAAAAAAGACAGGGTAAGAAGACTAAACCAAGTGCAATGTAATTTTTGAAAGGTGGAGATACCTCATGGCACACACTTCAACATATTCTAGCACAATTTTTTGAAGGAAGTTGCCTTGTACATCCTTATTGCTATAAAAGGCACTTTCAGAATTCGAGACACAATGTTTTATAAGTTAAACATGGGCCTCACCTGCTTTTCTCCTTTTTTTTTTGCCATTCATTATTCATTGATCTTAAGTTTCCAACACTGGCACAGTCATTTACTTATTAATGTTTGCCCTGCATCCAAATTATAGAAAATTATATTTCTTAAGATTAACTAAGTGCAAGAGTACAGAACCTCTGCACCTCCCATTTTAAAATATATTATGTTTCATTAAATTATTTCCCAATTACATAAAAAATTTAACACTTATTTTTTAAAAATCTGATTTCCAAATTCTCTCCCTCCAGCCTTGAGAAGGCAAGCAACATAGTTATTATACATGTGAAGTCATGCAAAACATATTTCCATATTAGCTATGGGCAACTCCTGCTTTTTAAAAATTGCTATTAGGCCATGAGGTCCTATGTGTGACCTGAGACCCAAACAAAAAAGATTATCAAGAATATTACCCTAAAAGGTGGCAACAATGTACTAAGAAGAACAGATAAGCCCTATCCTTAAAAATAAGTTTTGTTTGCTCAAAACTTCCATTTTCAGTTTTCTCAGTCTGTTTGGAACGTAAAATGCTTTTTCCACACAGAAACTACTGCCCTAGAAAGGCTGTTAGGTTTTCACAGCACCCTACGAATGCTTATTTAACCCAAAGGAGAACTAAATACATGCAACAACATTTTAGACGTATATTCTGAGTTCCAGTTTAGGACCAGTTCCCAATCTCCAGCTTCTGTCAGTTGGTTCTGGGACCTGGGGTTAAGGATTTATAGGTAGAGTCCAAGAACATACCAAGTCTGAAGGTCCCTCCTTCCCCTAAGCCATTTTTTTTTTGGGGGGGGGGGAGTGAGGGGTAAGGAGAGAAAGGCAGGAAAGAGAGATATTGGGGAGAAGGAGATAATTGACATGGAGTAGAAAATGAGTTTATTTCCCTGAACAGTTGCTTCTAAAATAGAATTTCTCACCATGGAAGACTGGTACAGAACCCTATTAAAGAAAGTTTTTTTTTTTAAATTTAAAAAATAAAACCAGATAGTAACAAAGAAGAAAAGGAATAAAAGGGCAACCCTATTTGCAATCCCCTCCCTGTATACTCCCTTTGTCCTTTCAGGTGAAGATAAAAGCCTAAAACAGATATCTACATTTCAGGCTTAGGCAGTCCTGGTAGAAAAGAGGCAAAATATTAGGAATTAGGGAGCTGGTAAAAGATTAGACACAGGGCTTATCTTTTCCCCTAAGATAGAAGAGTCTAAAGCCCTTCCTGCAAATTCTATTTTGCGGAGGTTAGGAACTTGCCATAGCTCCAGAAGCTCAATACAAGGGTAAATGGGTATGGAGAGGAGTTACATGGCCATTGGCAACTCTTATGTAAAGATAATAAGCACTCTCATACAAGTCCCATATGTTACCTACTCCATACTCCATATAGATGTCTCTCAGAGACCATTCAGTCTATTTCCTTCATTTTACAGATGAAGTGACTTGCCCAAGATCACAGAGGAAGTGATGGCAGAGCTGACATTCAAACTCAGGCCCTCGGACTCCAAATTCAGCATTCTTTCTACCATACCACAATGTGTAATAATCATGTCCTCTTCCTTATATTTCCCCAGTAACAGTAAGGCTCGTCCAAGGTCTCCCTTATATACTGGTTTTTCCTTTCCAAGCCTCCCATCCAATCAGAGAATTAATTACCTTGATGAGGTCAAGTTCCTATACTAAAAGACCTGAACTAAACCTAACTGTAGGTTAGAGAGAATGATTTGAATCATTTTCAGTTCAATGAACAACTGTGAATTTCCTAAGAAAGCTGGGAATGGGTAGAAGATGGACAGGAAAGAATGCCTCATGACCCCATGGGCATCATTTACCCCAAAGAATAGGAGAACCATTCAGGACTGTATCAACAAAGCAGAGGAGACCAGTACTCAGCCAAGGACATGAACTGACCCTTGGTCATTCTCATGCCTTCTTCTTGGCCCAGCCCTCCTTCCTTTGTGGCATTAGGAGAAGGAGAGAGAACGAAATGCCAAGCCCAGATTTTCTGGTACTGTGGAATATTCTGAGAAGCAGTATTATTCGCTATAGATTTCACTGATCCCAACAGAAATTGTTTAAAAAAAAAAACAACCAGAACACACAAACACACCCAAAGGCCATGACATCCCTTTTCTTTCCTACATTCTATTAACCTACAATACTTCTGCCCATCTCTGTTCTGTCCAGAATTGATACATAAACATTAGCAATAAGAACCAAACATTTAACACTAAGGTGCCTGATCTTTCTCAATCCTGCATATTTTCCTTTTCTCCAGTTCTTTAGTACTTGAATAATTACTTTTGTCCTATAAATTGTGATACATTAATAATTCATAACATCTAAACTTTGCATTTTAAAATTTACTTACATTCGCTACAAATACTGTGCTTCCAAGTCTTCCGGCCTGTAATGCATGGATAATCTCATTTGGGATGTTAGGATTATTTAGGATACTGGGTGGGATATTAATCATTCCTGGGCCACCTGGTCCCATACCCATCCCACCAGTTGTAGCCATCACCTTTTGCATTGCTCTCCTGGCATGTTCGCCATCAGGATCCTAAAACAAGCAAAATTGTATTTGGCATATGTAATTCAAGAATAACAAACATTAAGGGGTTGTATTACAATGTTTTATATTTCCTAATACTTCAGACATTAAATATAAATTATAGAAAAATAATTAAGGACCTTAATAAATTAAAGAAGTATACTAGCCACAGCTTTCCAGCAGAAAGAGTACAAGTTGACAGTGCATACCCACTGTGTACTCAGTGGCTTTCAATAAATTCTTGAAAGAGAATCTAAGAATGAGAGAACTATAGTACAGAATTTTAAAATAATCCACTCCTCAGTTTAACTTAGAAAATCAAGCACCATGGGGCTCATTGCCTTAGGACCCATCCATAAATAGAAGTAGGAAATACAAAAAAGGGATGAGCTTCATTTTCAAAATAAGACCTGAATATAATGTTCTTGTGGGTACCACCCATCCTTTGTACTCACAGAAGCTAATACTGGCCACAGAAGAAATGTAATAAAAATTTGCTGGAGAGTTCACTTCTCTGCTACCAAGTTCTTGGTAATGGGATTCAGGGTTAGGCCAGAGCCTGCTGCACCACATACACACTTAAAAAGAAAATTCTATGATGCCCCTATGATTCACCAGCACCCTTGCTTCCCCTTTTTGAATTGTGAGCAACTGTACTTATAAAAACAAAACTTGAAGGCTGAGTACATGTGAAGTCACATAAAATCTGCACAAGTTCACCTGAGACAGGCAGCATAGTGTAGTGGCTAGAAAGCTTAAATCCAGGTCTTCTCAGCTCCTCACCTCTAACACATGCCAGCTGTATAACCTTGGGAAAAGTCACTTATTTCTTAGTGCCTGCTCTCCACAATTCTCTAAGATGCAGTGAAGATGCAGACATGCACTGCACTAAAGAGAGAATTCCACATACTAATGGAATCACAGATTTGATACCTATCCCCTATAATCTAAAACTGGTGCTATAGCTTATAAGTTAGAAACTAGAGATGAGGTCAAAAGACTGATTTTTGTATACTCATTAACAGCTAATTCCATTTTTAAAGCTTCTCATTATTTTCCCAGAACCTATAAACAACATCAACTTTTCTTGTTACTATATAGTTTAATTTTTCTCCACACACAATTTACGAATTCATACATGCTATACAAGGTAAAGGTGTTAGTTCATAATAAAAGCTAGCTTTTATAAAGCACCTTTTTTTTTGGACATTTTTTCTGATTCTTTATTATTCATATTGACATTCAGGCATGTTAATTTTCTTCAGTAAGTATTTTAAATACAACACAAAAAGAATTAGCTTTAACCTTTAACTACACACTTCCCTTTTTTTAAATACAAATTTATTTATTTTTAGTTCTCAACATTCACTCCCACAAGTTTTTGAATTCCAAATTTTCACCCCATCTCCCCCCACCCCAAGATGGCATGCATTCTGAATATCCCTTCCCCTAGTCTGTCCTCTCTTCTATCTCTCTCCCCTTCTCTTATCTCCTTCCCCTTCTATTCTCCTGTAGGGCAGGATAGACTTCTGTACCCCATTTCCTGTATTTCTATAAAGTACTTTTTAAAGGTTTGTGAAGTGATTCACAAGTATTCTTATCTTTGCAACCAACCCAGGAAGTAGGTGCTATTACCTCATTAATTGCCATTTTCCATTCCCCAATTCTAACCCATCACACTACCTCCTGCCCCCAGTAGCTTCCACTGAGCCTCAAGAAAGATCAGGGAATAGAGGGAGCAAAGGAACAAGTTTCTGGTATCAAAGACACTAGGAAACGGGCCTGAAGAATCAGACTACAGGAACGGAGAGGCAATGGTCTTTAGCTCTTGAGCATCTGCCAGTTTACAGGCTTCTAACAGGGAGGGCACAAGGCTAAATTCAGGGCCTAAAGGAGAATCCACACATTCTAAGTATTTTGAACGATAGACACTGCATTTCTTTAACACAGAGCCTAATGACTTACCCTCAAAGTGCCTTTTTTAAAGAGCCTTTTTTCTTTTTTGGCTGTGAAGCAATTGGGGTTAAGTGGTTAAGTGACTTGCCCAGGGTCACACAGCTAGTAAGTGTCAAGCGTCTAGTTTGAGACCAGCTTTGAATTCAGGTCCTGCTGACTCCAAGGCTCTATCCACTGCGCCACCTAGCTGCCCCAAGAGCCATTCTTAAAGTAGGTGTTGGCATGATATATGGATGGAGGGAAAAAAATCTCTTTAAGAAACAGAAAAGCATTTCAACCAAAAGAGGAAAATGCAAGCATGACAGAAATAAACACCCATAATCATCTAAGAAATAAAACAATCACACATAAAATCTACTTTTTAGGGGAAAGAAAAGGACCAGAAAGTAGCAGGGTATAAATTTTTGAAAAGTAAACAAAACTTGGAAAATCTGAAATTAGCATTTAACAATACAAAAAGCATAACAGCTCTTGGATTTTGCATTAACATTCGGTCTCGTCTTGCCTTCAGAACCCAGTGGGACAACCAACACTAGTGAATTTCCTCTAGGATGCCAGGCATTAATTACTGTTGTTTGGTCATTCAATAAGCTCCAAATCCCTCTAATTACACTATTATACAAGCTCACAAGGATAAAATGATCGACCAATGTACTAGTGAAGTCTATGCCATCCCCTTGGGAGATAATGAAAAAGGAAATCTGACCATGCAGGAGAGCATGAGGATGACCTGGGTTCTCATTCTGGCCTGAGTACTAACCAGCCTAAACTCCTGAGTATTCAGCTTCCTTTTTATAAAATGAAGGTGTTGGACCAGATGGATTAAGATTCCTTCTAGCTCTAATATACTAGTCTCCCAATAATCAATGCTACAGGAGGCTCTTATACCCACCACTCATGTTTATAGTACAAAGCTTGAAAAGTGAGACCAATTCAAAGGATACAAACAGGCAGTTTCCAAATGAAGAGATTAAAGCTATCTATAAGGGGCAGCTAGGTGGCGCAGTAGACAGAGCACCAGCCCTGAAGTCAGGAGTACCCGAGTTCAAATTTGGCCTCAGACCAAACACTTGACACTTACTAGCAATGTGACCCTGGGCAAGTCACTTAACCCCAACTGCCTTAAAAAAAAAAAGCTATCTATAACCGATGAAAAAATGTTCTAAATTACTACTGATTAGAGAAATGCAAATCAAAACCAATTCTTAGGTACCACATCACACCTATCAGACTGGCTAACAAGACAACATAGGGAAATGATAAATGCTGGAAAAGTTGTAGGAAAACTGGAACACTAATGCATTATTGGTGGAGTTGTGAAATGATCCAACCATTTTGGACAGCAATTTGGAACTATGCCCAAAGGGTTATAAAAATGTATACACCCAGCACTTCTAAGGCTGTACCCCAAAGAGATCATACAAATGGGAAAAGGACCCACATGTACAAAAATATTTATAGCACCTCTTTTTGTGGTGGACAAGAACTGGAAATGGAGGGGAAGCCCATCAAATTGGAGAATGGCTGAACAAGTTGCGGTATATGAATGTAATGGAATACTATTGTGCTATAAGAAATGATGAACAGGCAGACTTCAGAAAAACCTGGAAATACTTGTATGGTCTAATGCTGAATGAAGTGAGCAGAACCAGGAGAACACTGTACACAGTAACAGCCATGTTGTTTGATGACTAACTTTGATAGACTTAGCTCTTCTCAGCAATGCAAGGATCTAAGACATCTCCAAAGGCCTCATGATGGAAAATGCTGTCCACATCAAAGAAAGAACTATGGAGTTTGAATGCAGATCAAAGCATACTATTTGCTATTTTTTTTTTGGTTTTGTTTTTTCTTTCTTGTGGCTCCTCCCATTCATTCTAATTCTTCTTTACAATATGTTTATTAGGAATGTAGGGAGCAGATAGGTGGCACAGTGAATGGAGCACCAGCCCTGGAGTCAAGAGGACCTGAATTCAAATCCAACCTCAGACGCTTCACACTTACTAGCTGTGCGACCATGGGCAAGTCACTTAACCCCATTACCCAGCCCCCCCCCAAAAAAAGAATGCATACGTAGAACCTATACTAGATTGCACGCCACCTTGAGGAGGGGAGAGAGATGGAGAAAATTTAAAACTCAAAAGCTTATGGAAGTGAAGGTTGAAAAGTAAAATTAAAGTGAGACCAAATTGACTCATGAAATACAAAGCTAATATAATCACAATACATTATAATTTTCCCACAACAACTCTGTGAGGCAGGTAACACAAATATTATTACCCCATTTTTGTTTTATTTTGTTCAGTCGTTTTCAATTGTGTCTAACTCTTCCTGGGTTTTTCTTGGCAGAGATACTGGTTTGCCATTTCCTCCTCTAGCTCATTTTACAGATGAGGAAACTAAGTGAAACAGGGTTGAATGACTTGCCCAGGTCACAAAGCTACTAAGTGTCTGAGGAAAAATTTGAAACCAAGAAGATGATTCTTCCTTGTGTCAGGCCTGGTACTCTATCCACTGCGCCAACCCCATTTTAGAGATGAGGCAACTGAGGATAAGGAAGGCTAAGTGACTTGGCCCAGAAAATATAAATATCTGAGGCATAATTTTATTCCAAGTCCTCTTCACTTCAAGTCCAATATTCTATCCACTAAATGCCACACTGCCTCTTAAAATTGGGGTAACAAAACCCAGTTTTAATTTCTCCCTTCTGATGACAGGGTAAAGTAGGCAGTTACGCAGGTCAGGTAGTTGCTTGCTGTAATAATCAAGGTTTAGGTAAGGGGATAAAGAGCTGAATCAAAAAAAATTAACAGTGAGAATGACAAGAAATACTAACAGGACCCGACACACAGAAGTGATCACTGAACTCTTTAGGGAATGAATGAATGAATGAATGAATACAGTTTTGCTCCATGGTATTACTTGTTTCACACAACAAGAGTGGCCTGAAGATGTTATGACTATAATAAATTGCCTATATGGTCTCTTCCAATTTTGATTCCATAATAAAAACAGCAATCAAAAAGCCCTCCCTTTTTTCTCCCATACAGCTCAGCAGCTCCATCGTCATTACTTTCTGCACAACCGTTTGGAGATAAATGTATTCAATTGACAGGTTTATGAAGGCTGGTTATTACAAGTAACTCTTTACCTGTACTCTTTTCTCTCTGAGAGATCAGACAGAAGACTTCCAGAGTACCACAAGCAGCCCAAATAATTTTTCCTATCCTCACTACTCTGTACTTTGAGATAACAAACACACTTATTCTACATTATCACAAAACTAAAACTGCTCTCTTCATCAACTGTCTTTTCTCAGTGTTCACCCCCTTTGAGCTCTATGTTGCATTTGACACTGACCATCCTGTTCCTAGACAATCTTTTTGTGACTTGGTTCTGTGACCTGTGACAACTGCTCCTCAGTTTCCTTTGCTGCTTCATCATCCTTATTCTGCCCTCTACATGGGGAATACCTCGATATTCCCGAGGGCTTTGTCCTGGGCCCCCTTTTCTCTCTTGGTGACTTCATCAACTCCTCTGGGTTTAATTATCCATCTCTTGTATATGACTTAGAGATCTATATAACGAACCCCAGTTAATCCCCTAAGCTTCAGGCCTACATTCAATGTCTCATTTAGATGTTTCAGACTGGACATGCCAGAGAGATCTTAAACTCGATTTGTCCAACACAAAATTTATTTTTCACTACCCTTCCAACTTCATCAACGTCTTCAACTTCTCACTCACTTCACATCTCCAATCAGGTGCCAGATCTTGCCATCCACTGAGGTAGATAGAGAGCTGTCTCTGGAGTTCAAATCCTGCCCCAGACACTTACTAGCCATGTAACCCCCAGGCAAGTCACTTAACCTCTATCAACTTCAGTTTCCTCATCTGTAAAAATGGGGATAATAATAACATCTATACCAATCAGGGTTATGAGGAGGATGAAATGAGATTATTTGCAAGGTGCTTAGCACAGTGCATGACACAGAGTAGACGCTATACAAATGCTAGCTATCATAATTATTTCTCTACTTGCACACTGGTTTCCCACTCAGCTAATTCTAATGGCCTCTTAACTGGTTTCTTTATCTTCCACATGGCTGACAAAATGAGGCCTGATCTTGTCACTTCCCTACAACCTATCTGCTGTTTAGCTCCTTCACAATCTGGCCCCAACTTATCTTTCCGGCCTCAATGCACCATTACTCCTCACCTCATATTCTGCCATCCATCCAAACTGGCCTTCTCTCTATTTCTCACACAACACTCTATCTCTATGCCTGGAACACATTCCCTTCCCAATTCTTACCTACAGAATCCATCTCTTCATTCAAGTTACAGCTCAAGAAACACTTTCTCTACGAAACCTCTCCTGATCTACACCCTCCCAACTGCTGATGCCTTGCTTCACTATCTACTATCTATTCTCTTTTTCGTTACTGGGCACGTACATTCACACGCATATTTGTTTCCACTAAGAACGTAGGGATTGTTTCATTCTTTGTATCCCAAGCCTGGAGCACTGTGCCTGGCACCCAACAGCTGTTTAATAAGCCATTATTGATTGATTCTCTAAGTCAGCGATAAAAATTTTAAATAGCAGAGGTGCAAAAACAGATCGAGGGGCACTTCACTGGAGACTTCCTCCTAAGGCCATGACAAGTGCTTCGGGCCCTAGCTACTACTTCTGTACAATGAGTGGGGCTGGACTAGATGGACTCTGAGGTCCCATTCAACTCCTGATCAAAGATCCTGTGAGTTCTGCCTTACATGCTTTAATAGCACCCGCTTCCCGGGGTTTTGTAAAGATAAAATAAGCTAACATTTGTAAAGTGCTTAACATAATGCCTGACACACAGGAGGTAATTAAAAAACAAAAATCAATACCCCCCCAATACCACCTTGTACTTTTTTTTTTGCCTCACTTATTCTGTACATACTTATATATACTTTTTGCTTTCCCCATTAGATACATGCAAGCTCCTTATAAAGACTGTTTTTGGCACCAAGGACAGTGCTTGGCACTTAGGGGTTTTAAACAAATAGTTAATTTCATTGCTGACTGAGAGAGGAAAGCAGAAATATAATTTGAGTTCCCTCAGCAGCAGGCCATTTAATCTGTGCCTGCCCCTAAAATGAATCTAACAAATATAGAAAAGAATCTGGTTCAAGTACCAAGGAAAAAGGCATTCTCAGATCAGGTAAAGCACTATCAATAGTAAAGCATTTGTAATAAAGAACCACACAAAATAGACCCCCAAATGTGACACTGACAAATTATTCAGAAAACAGGTGAGATAATGGATCAAAAGCTGCAGACAAGAAGGGTAAAACTCAAGGGAGGATGGCAAAATGATACCAAGTATATGCTGGCTCTTAGTATTACGAAGTCAGTTCCTTGCTCAGGGACTCACAAAATCCTATCAGAAGGTGTCTAGTGACCCATCAAGGTTTGGTTTAGTCCCCTAAGTGGGCATTGGTACTACTGTTTAGGATTGGACCAGGATGAGAGACGGAGGATTATTCTCAAATCTGCTGAAAATATACCAGGGACTGGAGCTTTCTGTGAATTTGCAGTCTAGGTTCATTTAGAGGCAGCATGGTATAGCAGGAAGGGCACTGGACTTAAGTTAAAAGACTTGGGTTTAGATCCTGCCTCTGACATTTACTAGTTACCTAAATGACCCATCAGGAAAACGGAGTGGGAATATTTCCAATTAGATATCTCATGAATGTGAAGTGCTATAGAAAAATGTCACTCTTAGGTTCCATAAATTAATATTAGAGGTACTAAAAATCTTACTTCTTTGACTTTCAGAGGTCTTCCACTCAGACTATGCTTGTTCAAAACTTCAGCAGCTTTTTTCATGCTTTCTTCCATCTTGAATTCAACAACACTATAAAGAATATCAAAAAGATATGAATGGAATGTCTTGTAACTTTGAAAACCCAATCACCAGCAAGTAATTAAAGAATACTTACGCGCATCCCTTTAGATGCAGCCACACCAACCAGAAGGGCAAGGAAAGAGAAAAAGAAAAAAAAAAAGAAAGTAAGTGCAAAGAAAACCATTTTTTTTAACAAACTAAAAATAAAGTTCACATAAAATTAGTTTAAAAATTAGCCCTTTTAAGGGGGAAGGTGACAGAAGAAATATCTTACCTATCCTTCCTTACTAAAAGCTGGACTCCATGATATCCTAGCTTCTACACATTACCAGGGTTGCCTTGTAGTTTCTGAAGTTATAATAAGCAGACCTAAATTCAGGTTCTCCAAGAACACTCCACAAACTTTAGATCTGCTCCCCTCTGTAATCAATCAATTCCTTATCCTACTCATCCTAAATCCGTCCCTTCAATACATTAAATAAGCTTGTCCTATTGATTCTTCTAAGCCATCCTATTACGCTCGACAGAAAATAGTTTAATATCTATTTGCCAATTTTAAACGTTCAAGTTTTAAGTATATGATTTATGCTTTACTGGCACAAGGGCAACTTTTCAGAAACATTTTTTCACACAACTTACAAATTCAGCAAACAACCAAAAATAACATTTTCTAGAACAAGAACACACGTTTTACATTAATATGCCACCGCCAGAGTTCCATGCATAATTCACACACAGCCAACTCCTCTATTAACAAAGAGACGATGCTACTATTGGTCCCCAGGTACCCAAGTTAAACATCCAAACAGAATGCCAAAAAGCTCTTTGGACAACCATTTGGAGCAGTGGGGCCCCCATTTGCAAACCCTCCCCATCCCCTTTCAAAAGTATGGCAATGTCGAATATTACCTATTGGTAACATAGCACTCGCTACCTTCCTGAATTCATTCCACTCCACGCCACCATACAGTTACATTTGTCATGTAGTAAATCCACAGAAGAAATTCTCTCAAACACTTACCCTTGACTTTCCTTCAGCGTCCATTAAGAGCTCCACGTATGTTACCTCACCAACTACAAATCAGATTCCAGACGACACATATACCAAGGGAGAAAAGCCAAGAAAACAATGGGAATTTAGAACAATCATCAGCAACCTTGTATGGAGCCTCTGCCTTATAAGAAAGCCCAGAAACACTCCATATTCTCTAAACCACCAAGCTAGGCATTACAGGTGTGCAGTAAAGGTAGATAAGACTAGTTTAACAATATGTCCTTGATTTTCCTCCCACCACAAACAAACAATTTCCACAGACTTCCTTCCATGATATCAATTTCCTGTCTGGAATACTCATTCATGACTAGAGGCAATCCAAATCTGTAGGAAATATGTCTGCACATTAACTTTTTGGGGAAGGGAGGAAAACACATTTTGATGGCTATTTAAAGAATGCAGGTGAACAGTACATATTAGAATGCCACTAAACAGAAGATTCAAATGAGCACACAGATCTTGGCTCAGCACTTACTCTGGAAACAGGGTTCAACTGGTTTGCTACAAAACCACAAAACCAGAGCAGCATCTAGATTCTCTTCAACGAATCATGATAGGCATTTATTTAATCCTGCTGCTTTCAACATTTCCCTTCAGGTGACAGAAATTTAATACTCACTTTACATCTACAGCAATAAGCCTTACACAATTCTGATCTTTACAAAGGCCAAAACCAAAGAGCATTTCAAAAAGCTAATTCTGCAGATTTTCCTCGAGGTTTGGATTGCCAATTCATGACCACCATAACCAGACTGTTTACCACCAAGAATACAACTACCAAAATGGCTGCTGAGTTTGAAGGAGATGGCTTACTGAAACTATAATTTTTAAAATCTGGCTAAAAAAAATCAGGTAGTCTATCTGTAAGCCAAGGGTTTTTATCCCCCACAAAGTTTAAAGAATATTAGTTTAAAGAATATAGTGCCAAAGACCAAGTTTATCTTTGTTTGGTTTTGAACATTTCCACAAAAGTACAAGTTTAGAGGGGGCTAGGTAACAAGCTACTCATGTTTCATATCCTTCCTTCATAGGATAGTTAAGATAAACATTTCTGAATTTGATATGACAAACTATTTTAAAAGTCAAAGAAAAACACTAGCATTTTCTCAGAAGAAAGAAACATCTTGCTTTCCAAAATACAGTCAATAAAATTAAGTCCTAACTGATATAAAGTGTTCATGGTCAAGACAAGCAAATGAGTCCAAGTCTAATATCCAGGGTACTTAATCCCACCTAAAGTCTCCTAGAACAGCTAAACTGACAATACTGTGTGCCAAAAGCAGAGAAAGAGATGACTAGAGGAAAAAGAATTTTCAAAAATCAATGGACCTTGTGACAAAGTTTAACTTTTTGCAAATATGCACTGGTTTATGTATAGCATAAATTGAAAAATGCCCAAGCATTAACAAAACAAGTCCAGCCAAAAGCCTAGGTACACTTTATTAAATTTAGATGGCCCCAATTTTACCATCTGAAATAAAAACAAAAACAAGTCCCTGAGGCCAATTTTTTTCAATTGCCATTCATTTCAACAGCAGCAGCCATTAGAGGACCAACAGCCCTTGTCTCTATTTTAATGACATATTATGTCAAACTGATTAAGACGAACCCCCAAGTTTATTAACAATAAGAACATGCTCAATTTACCAGTGTCCTTAAAAAAAAAAGGAAAAAAGAATCACAAGGTCTGACTCAAGTCAGCTATAACTTACTGCCAGATTTCAAATACTGGTACAAGTTAAAGTCAGTGTCCATGTTCACCATAAACCTTTTACAGAACTATGTGACTGCTAGCTAAAAGCCAAGACCAATCTATCCAAACCATACCTCCTTCCATGGTCACATAAACATTTTATAACACTCTTTTCTTCTAGATTACAAATGAAATAGAAGGCTACTCATTTATTTCATGTAACTTTTGATTCAACAAAATTCTACCTTTAGTTTCTAATTATTTTGAGATTTAATCAGAAAAGGGCTAGATTAACTCAGTTCTCATTCAACATCTTCAAAACAATGAGGTCTCAGCGAAACTTTAGAAGTTTTACCCTACAAGAGAATGGTTTTAAGAAGGCTTCTTGAAGCTAGGTTAGACTTTAGCAAATTAATAGCCTTTGTTTTATATTTAAGAGTACTTTAGCCTAGTAGTTAAAAGTACTTAGATGAATTTAAAAATAAAATTTGCTAAAGAATCCACAAAAACTTTTGATTTAAAAATGTTTTCTAGTGGAAAGGACAGACTCAGCAACTGACTTTGGTAACAATTCCAGATAAAAACCAATGTGCTCCTCTCCCCAGAACAGTTGCTGGTACATAGTAAGCACCTAATAAATGTATGAATGCACATTTGCTTTCTTCTTTCCCCCCTCTTTCCATGTGGGCTGGGCTGGAATTGCTCTAGTAGCTACATAAGTACTGGTGTTTATTAATGTTTAAGACTGTATCCAGTTTTAAGGATTATGCAAAAGCCAATTCTATGACAACTAAATCCTGCGATAAAAAGAACCTGAATACAAGATTCTGAAAAACCCCAAAGATGGCCTCCTTTATCGTGCATTTTTTTAAAATGGAAATTAAACAGATAACTAAAACCACTTTCTCACTGGGAGAATCAATGAAATCTTGTTGCTACAAGCAATATACAACCCAAATCAAAGAACTGAGACAACTATTATTTGTATGAATCTTAAATGTACAAAGCTGACAGTATTTCCCAGCTCTGATTAAAAAGGGATATGCTTCCCCTTTTCTTCCTCAGTCTGGAATGAGATGAAGGAAGGGATGTAATGTAGACAACACAGTGTCACTGAAGAGAGTTCTTATTAAGTACAATAAAAATCTACCAGAGATTTTATGGACAAGGGATATACTGTGGAAAAAAAAAACCACCCAAAACCAACAAAAAAACCCAGAACACACCTCTCACCTCAAAAGTCAATTATCCACACCCAATATAAAGCAGACACGGTTTAAAACTGGCTTTAGAATGCCTTTTCTGGGGACTCACAATATGTGTGACAAAATAACTTAAATCTGCCCATGACAGTTTGACAGAATATAGAAAGCTGAAGTAAAAGCTTCCTTTCCCCCAAACCCTAAGTAGGGATAATCACACCCTTCACAATGATCCAAAGGGTCAAGAACATAATGTTACAGATGTGTGTGTGTATGCGTATGTGCATTTCCAAATAGTGGACCCCAATTATAGGACTCAGCCTAATTCCTACTGGGCAGCAAGCTAGACTTAATATTATTAAGGAAAACTGTGTAGAGGAGTTAAGTAAAGAATAATGTTAGCTCTGCCCTATAAACTTTCAATGTAGATAAAATGTAAATTTAAACATTTTGCTAATCTAACCGTGCCCTGGATATGTTCATGAGTGTGCTTGTGTGCCTGTTTTCAGCCAGTAACAACTTCAAATTTATTAAGAACACTGCACAAATTTTATTAGGGGAGGATTAAGCACTTCAATAAACAAATCTTTGCTTACCGAGGTAAACTGGCCACTGCTATATGTGCTATTGAGAATAAATACTACTGACTTGCCTTCTTTTCTTCCTCAGACTGTGATCCATGAAGAACTTACTGGTGGTCCACAGTCCTGCCTCTGCTCCATCTGCCCCATTCCCCAGATAGTCCACGTAAGCTAGATGCTAAGAGATGAGTATTCTTCATCCAGGGATAGAGATTTTACAATCTCATTCTCATACAAACCTTATAATGTTCTATAACTGCTAGCTATTAAATCTAAAAGTTTCCTAGATCACCTTTAGCTCAAATAATCTAATATTCTTTTTACTCAGTTCTAATACTCAAACATTTCAAAAGACATACCTCATTTAAAAAAAAATACTTAAAATCAGGTCAACTCTTGAAATTTTAAGGGAATTTTAAAATTGTTTTTGTAAAGTTGCTTGTTTAACTTTTCCAACCAGTATCCTTGTTGCTGGTACCAGGACTGGTTAGTCCTGCTCACTCTCTCTATTCAGCAAAAACAGAAAGAATGAGAATCTCATCCAGGAGAGGGTAAGGGCAGTCAGGTAGTCAAAAGAAGTGTTTTGGGTAGCTAAACCTTCATCTTATCAGACTCTAAATCTAAGAAAGAGAAGGGCACTGGTAAAGGAAAGTGGAGAATGTTTCTAATCCTTCCAAAAGGCCCCTAGCCCTCTTCCAATTCCCAGCTGTCTGTCAGTGGGGAACACTGTTCTATGAAACTTCCTTTTTGAGCAATATGATTACTGGTAGCTGTACTTTCAAGTCTGCCAAAAATCCTTCTTTAATGGAGAAAGATTCTAAGTCACATAAAGTCCCAACTCTCCAAAAGTCTAATTATTAAGAATATTCTGTAATTTCTCATGTCATTATTAATAATGTAGAACTTTTAACATAATTAAAAGAAATAAACAAATGACCAACATTCAGAAAATAGACTGCAAATAAAATATTTTGATTACTTAAGCCATGCAAATCATCAAGGAAGGACCCAAAGACCTAAAAAAACTAGAAGAAATAAGATCAAAACAGCACAATATGTAGTGTGGGCAATTAGTCTGAGTAAAAAAGGAAAACTGATTCATAGCATTAATGCCAGGTTCATTTAAGGCTAAGAGGATCAGCTATACTGCTTTAATATTTACAGGTTAATTTTTTAAAAAGGTCAACAAGGCTAAATTAATACTCTATCTTCACCATCAACCAAAGCTACAAATTACAATGGTCTGTTTTATTTATGGACTCTTAGAGGTCATGCCTAAGAAAAATGCTAACACACAATTATTTGTCTTATAGATTAGCTCAATATAATAAATAGGTAGATCTATGGGAAGAAAGTTAAAATGGGGGGGGAACGAACACACACACACACACACACACACACACACACACACACACACACTCTCTCTCTCTCTCTCTCTCTCTCCAAGAAGGATGTCAAAGCAGTGTAGCCTTAACGTGACATCACTCTTGAAAAAAAGAACCCAACTCTGCTCAGCATTAGGTAGTATGTTATACTAGTCCAAAGACTTCAGTTTAGGGTCCCACTTCTGTGTCTCAGTTTCCTCATCTACAAAATGGGGATATTTTCAGCCCTATCTCCTATGTGTGGTAATCAAGTGATATAATGTATCCAAAAAGTGCTTTGTAAATAAGGCACAATGTTAACATGACCTATTATCTGGTAAGAAATTATTTCACATTTTCAAGTCAAGAATGCCTATAATTCTTATTTTCATTCCATTAGTTGTGTGACTAAAAGTAGTAGTTGACCCTAACCAGGGCCAATACTCTAAATACTTCTCAATGAATTGTGGCTTGTTTTATATAAACCAAACCTCTTTTGTTACTATATACAACTATCACATGCTAAATCTTTTCTAATGCTTTTATATTAATGTATTATCTGTATTTCTATACTGAGCAATAACCAATTTTCATAAAATGTACTGGCAACACGTATAAAGCACTTCTGCAAAAAAGATCTGTAATCACTGAAGAATAACTTTTGGGATGGTAAGATGTGGAAAGAAAAAAGGGTTCCTAGACACCTCTCAATAGAACAGTTTATCTTTTAAAGAGTCATTTGGTAGGTAAACATGGAAAAAAATGGTTATTTTTGTATTCAAATTCTCTTTTAGACTCCACACACTGAAACTAGGTATACCATTTAAAAAACCAACTTTCATTCTCTTTCTTATGAACCCCTTTACCAAAAGTCCAATACTGCTGACAGTTATTTAGTTCAACAGCAAATTCATTAACCAATACAGGGGAGCTCTAAACAAGAACATTTTATGGTTCATTAAAAATATTGATTTACTGCACACCTGTAATTCTAAATTTCACCACCAAAAAAATACACAAAATGACTGAACCGGGCATTCAAAGCAATGCACCAGGGGACTATGAGAACCAGTTTGGAGAAATCTGAGTAAACCACCGTGCCGTCTCCATACTTGATATATCCAATGCAAAATGGCAAATTGAGGTGAACTGCTTCTACATCCAGACACTTCACTGTTGCTACTAGCTTTAGATCTTCCAAACTTAATTGCTGAATGGTAAAGCAGTCAAAATGTCACCTACTTTCTCCATTAGGTCCCAAAACTGGTTCACACACTCCTAAAAAATGAAAAATTGGGCCTGTAGTCTCTTACAGAGCTCTAACAATTACATTTTCAAAGCTACATTCCTGGTTCTTGGAACTACTATACCTTATGTATCAAAAGAAAATATCAATTCAGTGGTTCAAACAAATCACAAGAGCACAATTTTGGGAGTGATTCCAAAGACTAGTTAGAATAAGACCCAACTGTACTGTACAGCAATTCTAAACAGTGTTGAAGCAGCAGTCCCAAAAACCAAGAACAATGCATCTGGGATATAACATGACAAGTCCTTCAGACAAAATGAATAAATTTCACTGTTGCCCTAGGAGCATGGCAGGAATGATTTGGCTGATCAAGGCAGGAAAACAAATCTCACACCCAACATTTTTCCATCCATGTTATCTGGAGAGAAACCACATAATACTTGGAACGGCATTTATAGTACTTGGGGAAAAACCATATAAAGATATTCATATTGCCTAATAATATTTCTTGCATATCATGGTTAAATTCAGTTACAGTGCAGTACTCTCTGTGATCATTCATAACTGCAAAACCAAATGTGATGAAACCTAACCATACCAAAATGGCCAACCACAGCAACGTCAGTTCATATAATTTAAACTATTACCAGTTTGAAAATCAAGCTCACACATTCAATATGAATGTCTCCACCCACCCCACCCTCAACCCAATACCCTGCAATCCTTCAAGAAAACCCATTACCTGTAACTTGACTAATTTGTCTCTAGGAAAGGAAAGTTCAAAACAATATACAAAATTTGTTTTTCCCACCCTCTACCAACACTTTATTCTAGAACAGGGCCCAAGCGACCTCTTATCTGAGTGCCACTAGTAAGGTCAAACCACTTCTATAAATAGTAACAGGAATAAGAACACAGAAAGAAAAACGAAAGGTAGGGAAAGGAGAACCTGGGATAGAAGGCAGAGAAAGTGGACACGTAAAAGGGTGGAAAATGGATCAAAAACCAAACACCATCAAGAAAAGTCAGATGCTGCATGGTAACAGTGCTGCTTAGGCTGCTTACCCCTATTCTAGAGGAAATTACACTTAAATTTAAAAGTTGTTACCAGGGCCACAACCACTAATCATCTGGAGGCACTAAATTTCAAACAGATGCCTATTTTAAGCCATCAAGTCTCCATTCTACTTTGCATTTTACATAAAAATGGCTATGGAATGTTTTTCAATTTAGACCAAGAACAAGTCAAGCTACTGAATTGTGATTCCAGGAGAGACATCCACTTGTACCAGGATCAGCAAACTACCTTGCCCAACTGCATTAAAGGCTTCAAAAATCCTCACTAATGTAGATAATTCAAAAAATATTCCCTAAGACAAAAAGGCCCCTTTCAAACTTAATCGAAGCCCTATAATCCATATTTAGCCAATAGTATCATTTGTAGGTCAAGTGACCACACAAACCACTCTCTTTGACACGCAGTTGCATGACCATGAAAAACCAAAAAGGGCTTTACTCTAAAGCCTAGACAAAAAAAACCACTTTATCTACCCCAAACAGCCTCAACTGACAAAAAGATTAAATTATAACCAAGGAAATAGCCATAAGGAAAGATGACAGACCAACCTTTTACCCTACTCAACACCAATACCATTACCTTTTTCTTTGACCAGGTCTTTAAGGGACTGCCATTTCACATCAAATGGTATATTTGTAATGAAGGCTCTGTATCTTTTAGTAGGGTTGGCATAGGGTTCAAATCGATTCCCTCCTCTTTTCACATTTTTCTCCTTCCTCTTCTCATTTTGACTTGATCGTTCACCTTCACTGTATTAGAAAGAAAAAATACACTTGTAAGTGTAAGGCATAAATGAACATCTTTACATTTGTACTTAAAGTCGTTACACTCATTTTTGATCTGGTAGAATTATCTAGTATCAAACTATGGTACTACACACACACACACACACACACACACACACACACACACACACACACACACACACACACACACACACACACACACACGACTGAGAGCTATCTACTAACCCTGACCTAAGAAACCAAAACACTTCCTCCTTCCCTCCCATCTACTTTTCAGCTAGGGAAACCAAAGCGGAAAAACTACAGCAATTGAATACCACTGGAAAGGACTGTAGAGAAACAATCTCATGGGTAGAGAGAGTGGAGGCTACTTACAATGTACCTTTAATATAGCACATGACTTACTCCTTCCCCTCAAATACCTTTGTTTTCAAACTATTTATTTACTTATTTTTGCATCATGTACTCTTTGCACTGTGTGGGGGATCTAAAGCTTTTATTTGTTTACACTCAGGAAAGAACCAAAATTTAAACAAACAAAAAAAACACACCAAATTTCTTACTATACATTTTAGAAACAAGATCCAAACATTTCTTTTGTCACACACAAAATTCTATAAATCTGATCAATCTTTCTTGGATTTCAAAGATGCCGCTGCTGCCTCCACCATACGTAGATCCCACTGAGCACCATCCATGGCTTTCCACACATCTCTCTGTAACCAGTGGCATGCTTTTATGAAACAGCTAGCTTAGAATAAGAGGCTTATGGTCATGGAATAGTTTTTGCTGTTTAGTTATTAGGCCCATATAATTCTGGCCTCATCAGGACACCATCCTATACAAGATAAATGGTTTGAACTTACTTTATACTTTATGTACTTTTTTTAGCCATTCATTCCATTACAGCACACCAAAGACTTTTCTTCCTCAGTGTAGGTATAAACTACAGGTACTTAATATCAGTACACAAAAGCAATTAGCTACAGTATTAAGACAGATTAAGCTTGTCCCACAACATTCTCCGATTCATTCAGAAGCAGTATTAGAGGACCTGTTAATGGAGACAGGCTAGGCAGAAAACAGAGCACAGAAATTTATGCGTGGCCCCCACCCCCACTCCCCATCAGACCACAAAGTACAGCTAAGGGTTACAAAACTAGGCTGGGATTCAAGGAAAAGTGAAACTGAGGGTTTGGACCCTTAATCCTTCCCCGACTCAAAACCGAGCAAAACTTTTCAAGGTCAAATGCTGGCTACAGGGGGGTTAAAGGTTCTCTTTAGCCACAGACCACCACCTCTCTATCCCTTAACAAACCCATCAAGCACATATACACCTGGGGGTGTATATTCAAAGGCTTGGCATACAACAAAAACAACAGTACGTCTAATTAGATTCTGAAAATTACTGTAATAATTAGATACATATTTCATGCTATGTCACAAAATGTCTTCCCACACTATTCACTTCTTTGTTACAGAACAGTATAAGGAAATGATTTCAGCTAAAAGAGAATAGCTAAGATTTAAAGGCATTTTATCCTGACCACCTATCCTAGTCCCTAACAAGTGCTGGTTTTCTGGTTTGGAGCTGATACTTTATCATATGCATAGTCTTTCAGGAATAAACTCACAGCACATAATTCCTACAGGTTCAGCACCATCACTAACAACCAATAGGTGATGGGAAAGGCAATTTGCTTATGATGTAACCAAAACCTTCATTTAACATTTCTGGGTCTTAAGTTTCTTTACCTTAAAAAAAAAATTCTAACTCTTTTCTAGTTGTAAAAATCTTGTATTGTGAACACGAATTTGAGAGGTTTTTTTTTTAATAAATAAGATCATACATTGGGCTTTAGCTCATTTTGTTACTGAAATTCAATATTTGTTACCAAGTTAAATCATACACATCCCCTTTATGACTTCCTTTAAAGTATAATCACATACTGCCCGCTTAAGCAAAACCAGAACAAAAGCTAGCTTATCTGTCATTCTATAAAAATGATTATTAATTTAAAATAATTTCATGTAATCTCTAGTTTCTAACTGAAATACTGAAAAATGCCTAATTTCAGAGAGACAGTTATTCTCAGAAGTTGGGTAGAAGAGTGCAGAATTTCAGGAGACACAGACAAACAGGACAGTGTCGGTACTACCATATTAGATTTAATTATTACCTTAAAAAACCCCAAACTGCACGTAACAGATTCATGGTTTCACATATGATTGCTTTTCTGCTCTTCTTTAAATACAGAAATGTTGATACTTAAGTTTACGTTGAACAAGAAAGGCAAGGTTAGGGATGAAATAGCAAAGCCAAAATTCAAATCCAAGTGCTTTTCCCACTACACCACACTACCAACAGCCTATGGTAGTGAACAAAGTTCTTCAAGTGCCTTTAATCTGCTTCCAGGGACTTTACAAAAGAAAATCATTCTCCTACCTCCTTTCCTCAAAGGCTGGAAAAAGGAATTTAAGAACTGTACTGGATTATTACACAGTAATCCATCATGAGTGTTTTTGCTTTAAAAATTTCATTAAGATTAATTCCTCTTATGAAAAAAGCAAACTTTTTAAAAGTCCCAGGTGAAATGGTAGGCCAGCCTTTATGCTTTCAAGTTACCATCAGATTATCTTTACATTAGAGAAACGCTGCTGCAGTCACAAATTCATCTATTTTCTCATGCTCAGGATTTAAAACGCAGTTTAGCAACTCAGGGAAAATAAACAGAAATTAGGTCATCTAATTGTATCAAGGCTTTTTGAAGATCCAAGGTAAACAGCGCCCTACCTCCCTACCCCAACTGGCAGGGGGAGCCAGGAAAAAGGGTTAAAAGGAGAAGACTTGAAACGAGGACAAGGCGAATGAATTTTGAGATTATCTCGTCCAACCTCTTTCTTCTCAGAGGAAACTAAGGCCCAGAGAGCGAACTGCCTTAAATCACACAAGTATTAAGTAGCACAGCAACTGAATCCAAACCCTTACGCTAAATCCAGGGGATCTTTGGGTACAATGACCGGGCCAGAGGGTGGGGATAAAATGCGGAGAGAGCAGTCTTCCCGGGCAGCAGAGCGGGGTGCAGTCCGAGGGGGGAGGGAGTGGACAAAAAAAGTAGAGCGCCCTTGCGAACGGCCTGTCCCTGGGCGGCGAGCGCCCTACCTTCCCCCTGAGTAGCCCGGCGCTAGGGTCTGAGCACAAAGGCCGCTTCGTTTTCTCATTTGCAAGTGGGGGAAATGAGCCGGGCCTAAAGCCACGCGGGGAAGTTGAGAGGAGGAGATTCGGGTGTGGGGGGGGTGTTGCAGAGGGGAGAGGCGGAGTCAGGGAGAGGAAAAGGGCGCGGGGGAGAGCGGGACTGTGCGGGGGGTGGGGGAGAGCGGGACTGTGCGGAGGGAGGGGGAGCTCTCACGGGAACGTGGATCAGAGGCGCGCGAGGAGATGGGGGAGTGCGGCGAACACACATAGAGGGAAAATGGGGCCTCGTGGGAAGGCTAGACCAGTCCGCGCGTGGAGAAAGAAGGATGGAGCCTCGTGGGGAGAAGGGTCATGGGCCTGCGGGGGAGGGGGTGGATGAGGCTCCGCGGGGATCAAGACCGCGCATGTGGGGAGGGTGAAAAAGGATAGGGTCTGTGGGAGGAAGAATGGGGCCGCGTGTGTCGCGTTGAGGGGAGGGGGATGGGGCCGCTCGCGGGTGGAAGAGGAAAAGGAAATCAAGTCGAGGCTATGGGGAGGGTACGAGGACGGAGGGGGATGCCGGGGCCCCGTGGGCAGCTGGAGGCTGCGCAGGGAGCCGGACGGGGGCTGTGGCCTCGCGGGGTAGGAGGAGGGTGGGACGGGATCGGGATCAGAGGCCTCGCGTAGAGAGGAGAGGGAGCCCAGCTAACGGAGCCGGGGCTGCGGGGAACGCCAGGCGGCACAGGCCCAGGTGATGTCAGGCGCCTCCCCACGGAGCCCCAGGCCCGAGAAGGACGAAGAAGCCTCACCTTTTGGGGGTCGGAGTCCCGTTCCCGCTTACTATTCCAGGCGCACCGCCCTCCTCCTCCATTTTGGATTCAGTCGCCGCCACCTCCACAGCCGCTTCCACCCCTGCCGCCATTTTCTCCGCTTCTGGGCTTTGTGTGAGGGAGCGGGCAGGAAAGTACTGCGCCTGCGCACTCACGTGACACCGAAGAGGTCCAATAACGCTTGAGCGAGGCCCCACCTTCTACCCTTACTTATATCCCTCGGTTTGCCCCGCCCCACTTCTGCGCAGGCGTAGAGCCGAGGGTGAGTCGCGTCTGTGCTTGCTTTCCCGTTTTCAGTTCTGTTCATAGGTTCATACATTTAAAGCCACTTAAGGTCATCAGTGACCTTAAAGATTATCTGGTCCAAAACTCTCACCTTACAGAAGAGGAATCTATGGCTCTGAGAGTTGAAGTAATTTGCCTTGTCATACAGGTAGCAAATAGCTATCTGGGATTGGAACCCAAGCCTTCTCATCTCAAATGCTGTGACCATTCCACACCACCTGTCTGAAGTTGTTAAAAGTTTTTTGAGAGGATCTATGCTTTAGGAAAATCACTTGGGCAGCTAAATGGAGGGTGGACTGCAATGGGAAAAGAATTGAAGCAGGGAGATAACCCCTTGAAGCAGAAGGTGATGAGGGCCCACACCAGAGTGGCTGTGTAATTGGAGAGAAGATGGAAAATGAAACATGTTGTGAGGATGAAAATAAGACACGGCGACAAATTGGATACGTGAGGCAAGTGGTGGCGGGGGGGGGGGGGGGGGGGAGGCAAGAATGACAGTGAAGTAGCAAGCCTGGGTAACTGGATGATGTTGATCTCAACAGTAACAGTAAAAGTGTGAAGAGGGGAGGATTTGGAAGCAAAGACAATACATTCTGTTTTGAGCATGTTCAAGTTAAGATGCCTACGGGACTATAATTTTAAGATGTCCAACAGACAGTTGGTGATATGAGATTGGTGCACAAGAGGAAGGTTAGTGCTGGTTAGAGACATCTGGGAATCATCTGCATAGAGATGATAATTGAACTCCTGGGAGCTGATATGCTCACCAAATGAGGTACCATAAAAGAAGAGAAAAGGGCCCAGGACAAGGCCTTGGGGGATACCTGTGGTTAGTGGGTATGACTTGGAGGAAGAATGAACAAAGGAAATTAGAAGAAATATCCAAGTAGGGGAACTGGGAGAGAGTAGTGTCACTGAAAAAAAAAATCTAGAGGACAGAAGAACCAGAAAAGTGATTGATGGTCAAAAATGAAAGAGTTCAAGAAGGATGAGGCCTGAAAACTGGCCATTAGATTGGACTGTTATGATCACTAGTAATTTTGGAGGTTGGGGTTTCTGGCCAATGGAAATAGACAGCTAGATTAAGAGGGTTTACAAGAAAGCAAGAAAGGAAATGGAGGCATTGATTGTACATGGTTTTCTCAAGGAATTTAACCACAAAAGAAAGCAGAAATATAGGATGTCAGCCAGCAAACTGGTCCCACCTCTCTGCCTATTCTCCAAAATGGGACCTGGAGCTCCAAACAGGCTTCTATTGGACCAGAAAATGCTCATATCCTTTTAGTTCAGAGTCCAATATCTCCCTTCTTCAGAAGAAATCAAGTCTAATTCTTCTAAGTTATGATGGGGATGTGAAGGTCTAATGGAAGATTAACTGGGCACCTGGGCTAGGCATTGAACAGCTAGATTTGTGGTTACAGAATGTCACAGCTGGAACACACCTTAATGACCATCTTTTTTAGAGGAGGAAACTGTCTCAGAGAGGAGAGAGGATTTGAATACAGGCCACATAGAAGTTACCTCGATGCTGACAAAATATTTGATAGTCTCTCTTGATGACTGTTTTGGAAAAGATGAAGGAGACAGACAGTCCAGGACCTACCCAGGTTTCTTGACACCTTACAGCAGTGCTTTCTCCACTAGCTCTATGCTTCCCTTTGGGCCAGCCATTCTTAGAACATGTTAATTGACTCTACACTGAAGTATTCCTCAGGAAGATAATCCAGAGTTTCCTCATTTTTTCATGAGACTTCAAGGAACCTCATAAGCCATCTATTGTTGGGGAAAAAATTTTACCTCTACAACATACCCAATCAATAGTTACCAGACCTTTGCTTAAATATGTCAAGTGAAGGGGAATCCACAACCTGAGACAAATTACACTTTTGGATAGATCTAATTTTTAAGTTACTCCTTATATCAAGCCTAAGTTTGTCCCCTAAGTCTTCTTTAGGCTCCACATGACTCAGTTGGGGCAGCTAGGTGGTTCAGTGGACAGAGTACTGGACCTGGAGTCAGGAAGACCTCAGTTCAGATCTGGCCTTAAGACACTCACTAGCTGTGTGACCCTGGGCGGGTCACTTAACTTCTGTTTACCTTAATCCACTGCAGAAAGAAATGGCAAACTATTCCTGTATTTTGGCCAAGAAAATCCCAAGTCGAGTTGGACACAACTGAACAACAAGCACTATATAAATGTTATTATCATCATTCTTTCTTTTCAGCCTTGTAATTGAATAGGATTGAGGCCTGTTAGCATTTTGTTTGCTTTCCTCTGGACACACTCCAGCTTGCAAATGTCTCTACTGACATACAGTGCCCAACACAGAAAACCTTACTACAGAGGTTGTCTGCCAAAGCAGATGAGAGAGAATAGCACTTCACCAGTTCTGGACACTGCGCTTCTCTGCATGAAGCCTGAGATTAATTGCATTAGCTATTTTGGCTTCCATGTTACCCTGCTAGCTCATATTCAGCTTGCAATCCACTAACACCTCCTGACCCTTCTCTCCTATCCCTACACCGTTGTCTAGCTTGTCAAAGTTAATTTTTTGAACCCAAATATAAGACTTGATATTTGTTATGATTAAGTATCAGATTCAGCCCAATATGCTTCCCTATCAAAGTCTGTTTGGATCTTGAGTCTATCAACCGTGTTTGCTATCCCTCTCAGCTTTGTATCATCTATAAATCTGATGAGCACTGTAGTCTATGCTTTTACACAAATCACTGATAAAGATATTAACAACATTAGGATGGAACCACAGAGCCTTAGGACTCTCTGCTAGAAACCTTCCCAGTTGATATCAAACCATTCATAATGACTCTCTGGATTCTGCAATGCAACCAGTTGAGTCTACCTAACTGTACTACCATCTAGCCCATATCTCATCTTTTCTATAAGAACCCCAAGAGACCATAAAGGCTTTGCTAAAATCTATGAATATAATAAATATAAAATTCTCCTGATCTATGAAAATAAATAGTAATACTATAAAAAAAAAAGGAAATGAGCTTAATCTTTATGGAAGGCTTTTGATGGAACAATAGAGCCCATTGTGATTACCACTCCTTTCTCCTCCCTCCTGTGCCTCTCTTTACACCACACATCATGGAACTAACTACATTTCAAGGTACTGGTAACGTATTGAATCAAGTTTTATATACTTTATTTAGCACTAAATTCCCAACCTTCTCCCCTGAAAAAGGATTAGCTATACTCAATAGAAAAATCTTGGTTTAAGCTCTTGGGCTTAAGACACTTTCAGAAACATATTAATAAGTCCATTATGTTCATTAAGAGCTCATTTTATTCCTTCCAGGTGATCTTTAAAACACAGAAACTTTTATAAAGTATGACACCATAAAAGAAAGTGCAGATATGAGGATAGCCTCCCAAAATCTTAGCAAACTCCTCCTAGGGCAAGGGCAATGTCAAACATGAATTGTCTTTGAGTGACTCTAGAACAGGGCATGTAATTAACCTCAGATGAGATCAAGCTGCCAGCTTCAGTACTGAAGCTTAAAACCAAGTCTTGTCAACATAATATACAGAACTTTTATGCAAGGAAAATTGAAAAATATGTACATACACAGAATATACTCCACTTAGTGTATATATTATAACACAGTCAACCCAGGTTTGGGTGAAGGAGCTAGTTGTGTCCTTCCTTAAAAAGCTGAGCCTTCCAAACCATTTCTCAAGATCCTGGGCCAGCTGATAGTGTGATTAGCTTTCCTTCTTCCTCTGGAGTCCCAATATGCCAGCTGATTCCTTTAGGTTGGACTCCTCTCTAGATTATGGTCTCTTGGGAGCCTCTCTCCCCAGGGCTACCAGCTCCAGGGCACTCACACAGTAGTTTCTTCTGCTGTCTTCTTGAGGAGCATGGCTGACAGCAATGAATGCTGGGCCGTCTTGCAGTTTTCAGAGTCCAGAATCATTAAGCGGACTTTTTGATTAGTCCTTCTCCACTCTGAATACAGCTGGCAATGGTAGCGGAATGAAACCTAGACAACAAGAAAGACAGGTCATGGTACAGGGTTCTTTCCCTTTCAGACCCATAGAGGGAATCCTGATAAAGAATTACGTAGCATCTCAATAGTGGAGAGGAAGCGACAGCCAACTGTTCCAACCTGGACCTGAACAGGAATCCCCTCTCTAACTTCCCTAAGAAATCATCATATAATCTTTGCTCAAAGACCTCAAGTGAAAGGGAACCCATTACCTCCTAAAGAAGTACATTCTACTTTTGAACTGCATTAGTTATGGTGAAGTTTTTCCTTTCATTGAGACTCAATCTGTTCTTCTGCAACTTCAACTGTTACTCCTAGTACCAAGGTATTAGTCCCTAATTCTTCTTCCACATGACAGTCCTTTAAATTCTTGTAGACAGCTATCATGTCCCTCTGTAATGCTTTCATCTTCCATGCTAAAAAAATTCCTAAAGTTCTTCCCATTGATCCTTATATGGCAAAGTGTCTAGTCTCCTAACTATCCTGTTTTCTTTCCTTAATCTTTCCAGATTAAGCTGGATCTGCTCCAGCTTAACAGTAGTATCTTTTCCAAAAATGTGGTGACCAGGGCGAAGCACAGCATAATGATCACCTTTTTCTTCTGGACATTATCCTTCTCTTAAGCTTAGGATAAATAACCTTCCGGGCAGCTAGGTGGCGCAGTGGATAGAGCACCAGCCCTGAAGTCAGGAGGACCTGAGTTCAAATTCAGCCTCAGACCAAACATTTGATACTTACTAGCTGTGTAACCCTGGGCAAGTCACTTAACCCCAATTGCCTAAAAACAAAACAAAACAAAGGATAAATAACCTTTGTTGCCTGCCATGTCACACTGTTGACTAATATTGAGCTTGCAGTCCACC